TCGCAGTCATTGTTCAAACAGGGTGTGGTTTCCTCAGTGGAGGGCGGCGTGGCGTGGAGCCACCCTTGACGACAGGGAGGCCTGCTTTGGGCGGGCGACTCCAGTGGACATGGCTGGTCTGATTGGCATGGCGCAGACTCTTGCAGTGTTTCATTCAGGATATTATACCCTGAAGCGCAGAGAAGTACAGTTTCATGGCACAACGCGTATCCCAACTGATGCTGCTGCAATCCTCAAATGGGGACTAGATCCTTTCATGCCGCAAGATCGACCACCACTTGCCATTACTATGATAGCCACAGTGCATGGAACCCGCTGTTTGAGACGATACCGGCTGGTAGTAGCCAAAAATCAAAGCTGCGCCTCAGTCCGGAAGTTGCCACTATCTCACTGCGAGCGGATTTTTTCCGTGCTCTATTGATAGTGGCTATGCAGCAGATCGATCGTGCTGCCTATGATGGAGCTCCGGTCCAGTTCACAGGCAACGTGGTCCAGGCATCACTATTTTCATGCACATCGGTTAGAAGCACTCCTGCTAACTGCCCCAAGCTTCAGCTTCACCCTCGCACATGCAATCTCCTGAGGATGACACCATGGATGATACAATCCTATCACCACTCTTTCAGTCACCTGCGTCATAACTGAGCAGCTGATCACCATGCCCTCTTTTGTTCGTTTTTTTTTGTTTGTTTTGAGTTTTTGTCTGTAGTTGGTTTGTGTCTTGTTTTGCTTTTTTGTTTGGTTTGTTTCACTTTTTGTGTTGGCATAGTGACAGCTTATTATGGAACTGTGTACCGGTCCTGCCTCAGTTCACTTTGTCGGTCGTGAAGATGGATGACTTTTTTGCATGAATTGATTGAATTTGCTTTTATGCGCTTAGAAGGCATGATGAACGACCCGGCGAAAGCTATGAGGCGTTGGGCGGAAAAAAAAATCACCCTCGCACAGGCAATCCAGGCAATCTTCCAGAGCCACGCAGTGGCTGACCCTTCTGAAGAAGAACGATCCACTTCGGACGAGGAAGGCGCCAAAATGTTGAAGTGTCATTGCAGGATGAGAAGTGGTGTCCGCCTAATCCCGATTCATAAGAGGATCCTACTGAAGAAGAAGAATCGGGCGCTGCAGAAAAGCTTGAAACAATGATGGCTCAGGTGCAGCCTCCTGCTAACATCTTCATACACCCTCCAGTCTAGGTGCAGCACCGGCACAAGTATCCATGAAACAGGCTGAAAGGCATGCTTGTCCTATGCTGCTAGTGCTCCCTTCTGTCCTCCTCCTGTGCTTTGGCGCTCCTCCTTTCCTGCTGCCGTGTTTGCCTTTGTGTGTTTGTGTTCTTTGGTTTTTTGTTGCGTTTGCTTTGTTTGGCCTTCTGTTCTCACCAAGGAAAGTATGTAGATCAATCTGCTCGCTGATGCACTGCAGCTTACAGCGGGGATTACCCACGTGGGAGACCCACGACTCGGAGCAAAACAGCCCACTGCCGCGCAGATACCGGCAGCTTGACCCTGCCGGATCCCATTGTTGGGGCCCCGTCTGGCGTTCTCTCTTGGACAGTACACTGCTGCAAATAGAGTCAGTTGACCCAACCTCGATTTTGACGACAAGGCTAAAGTCCTCCTTTTTCAGAGCATGACTACGGATGCTTGGAAAAGCGCATGTGAGAGAAATCTGAGGAGATTGCCGTAGTGTACAGTTCGCCTGTGATAGTTTGCTGATCGGCAGTTTTAGCGCTTTTCAGATCGTTTGCTGGGCCGCTGACAATGACAGAACAGTTTCAATGTGCATGTTTTTGACGACACGGTGGGATCTCCCCTGTCAAAGGCAAATCTGGTGGTCTTTTGTGTGGGTGTTTTTTGTTTGGGCTCTGCCCCTTTCCTGGTTTTGCTTCGCTGTTGTTTCCCTCAGGCGAAACGCAAATCTTGCCGGGGGATTTGCGTGTCGTCGGTGCTGGTGGTTTCTGTTTTTGTGTTTTCTTGTTTGATTTGTCTGTTGTATTATGAAACCAAGGCGTTTCATGTTAAATTTTCTAATTTGTTTACTCGCTTATCCTAATGTTAGGACCGAGTCTCAGAGCGAAATCGAAAGCAACAGGAAAAAAAATGTTACAGAGGTGTGAAGCCATGACCAGCGATTTGATGGAGACACGGCCTGTCTTCACTGCAACATAGGTTGGTTTGCTTGGCATGTACCTCTTCTGGATGTCACAGTGCTCCAAGAGCAACAGGGGCACTAAGGACGACCCAAATTTTGGATGCAATTTTCCAATGAGGGATGACGACGTTGACACAGCAAGCGTCGCATCATGCATGACAGAGGACACGGACGAGTCTCCAGCGTTTTCTCGAGAAGGTTTGATCGATTGGATGTTTGAGAGATGCAACAGGCGATTCGAGGATGCTCTGATTTCAGGGAATGATGCAAGGGCACAATCCTATGGACAGCGTCGAGCTTTGTTAGGTGACTTCATGAACTTCATCGGGGCCGCAAATGATTCAGAAAGAGGGCAGGCAACTGAGATGCTGAACACAATAGACGATCTCAGCAGCCATGAAAAGTAGTCCAAGCAAAGACATGGAAGAGACTGAAGAAGCAAGAACTGGAAGAGTGAGGATAGGTCGTGCAGCAATGGTCACGCTGCAGAGCGCCATGGCTATGCAGCTGCAAGGGTGCTTACCTTTTTCCACCTCTTCGACATCAGCCGATGGTTCTTGGTTCAGTTTTGCATTTCTGATGACATGGACAATGTTGCTTGCTGGATACTCATGGTATATGCTTTACAACATGGACCAACGATACAGTGTACAGGCACCACACACGCCTGACATGCTGAACCTCAATGTGGAGCCCCAGGTGACAAACGAGAGCACAAGCGTTGAAGGGCTTGTGACATGGACTTTAGTCCGAGCACGCAGAAGGCTTCGAAAGATGCAAGCAGCTGGAAATATTGGTGGCTGCGTGCGCTATAGCCAAATCCAAAGATGGCTTGAAACATGTCTGTGCCATCTTCCCACATCGGGATCCTATGACCGCAACAGGATCGTGCAATCTCTGGCTGAGGAGAATACACTCTCAGATGATGATGAATCTCCAACAGCTGGAATGGGAGATGAAGAGAAACATTTGATGATCAACAGCTATGGGGACATCCACCGATGTGTGGTGAAGCTGCTGGAACTTGAGAGGTTGGAGGTCACAACGGACTTGCTGAAAGTCTTTGCAGAGGCCTTCAGGACACCAGAGCCACCAGATGATTCAGATGAACCCATGAGCGAAACGCAATCACAGCGTTTTACATCGATACAGAAACAGTGAACAGTGCGAAGTGTCAGATCCAGATGACTGGGCTACAATCCACTATGGCCCAGGACATGAAGAGCGACAAGAAAGCGAGAGAGATTTGCAGGAGTTTTAGGGGAAAACTCAAAATTCAAAAGGCACCAAACGAAGAAAGTCAATAGGGTGAGATACAAACCTCTCACCACTCGCTTTAGTGCCGACGTTTTTCAAGGAAATCCCAATAAAAACTACTCGATGGATTCACACAAGTCCTACGGGATGTAGAGACAATAACTCTCAAGCAAAATTTCAGTGTTAAGGCGCGGTGTAAAGATTTTACGCTATTTGCATCCTGTCAGTTTTACATGCATCGATGTCAGTTTACAGCAGTGACATGGCAAGTGTCACATGTCCAAATCAACTCGTATGTTTGAGGCGCTTTCGGTTCCAAAAAGATTTGCATGTTTTGATTTTTTGTTTCCGCGCTCGCCTCAAATAGTGGTGGGAGGGGGGTGGAGTCGTTTAGTTTGAACTCGCAACCCGCCCACCCCACCCCACGAGTTCTATATGTGTTGCGGGTGTGAGAAAGTTCCCAAAAACATCAGTTCAATCTTTTTGTCGAAGTGACAAATGTTCTGGTCGAAGGACTAAAGGCGATTCAGTTTCTCAGTGCGATGCATTTTTTTTTTCGATTTCCAATGTTGTGCAACGTGAGGATTCAACGCAGAAGATGAGTAGAGCAAAAGTGCTCCTTTGGATTTGCCCCGTTTCATCTCACAATAATGAAAACGAGAAAAAAGGATCAAGAATAAATTTCAAATTTGGAAATATAATTAAATTTATATTTCGTGTGTATTTTTAATATGCGCACTTAATTCACGCGACGCATGGATGATGCATTCAGCCAAACCAATAGTCATGCCCAAGTGGAGGGTAGGGCGGGATCCCTTCCTTGTGCTTGCAGTGCCCACCTTCCACCTTGATCTCGGCTTGCAATTTTTCGTCGATGCCTTTCCAATCAGTTCGTGTCCAGTAGTTGCCTAGCCGCTAGCCCTCATTCATTGCTTGCGTGGTGCTCCACTTAAAATTTTCCAGTTTCCCAATACAGCTTTCAATTTCTGATATTTCCGAATATTAGTTTCCGAATACAACCGTTACCACCCCATGCCACCCTACCCCGCAAACAGACGTACAGTAGTTGGGAAGCAACAGCATATTAAAAGTTGCGGCACTCACACCGAAAACAGCAGAATGCATGCAAAATGGTGGTGTGTGCCGTACTCTTGGGGTTTTGAAGAAAAACATGTGTCAGAAATGTTTGACCCCAAAATTTGCATACAAAAATGACAGAACAAATTTGTGGCCCTTTTTTTGCCAACAATTGACTGTGGCATGCTGAATAAAACAAAACTCCACCAGATATCGCATGTCGAATTTTGTTTGGGTATGGGTTGGCGTCGGAATTACATTGACTTCGTGTGAAGGGCGATTGGCAACACACAACAAACCATATTATTTGCGGTATGGTTCTGGGACGATGGCATCATTTTGTGTTGTTTGCATAAATACTTTAGGCGGCATGGTGTGAAAATGGACAAAAATAAACTTGAACTTGTTGGTTTGATGAATTGTATTGATTGTTTGGGCGTAAAAAACCATCAGTGACAATCATGTTTGATATAGAAATTCAGCGGGGAACCGTCACCCAAATTTGGTTCAAATTCAGACGCTGGACGCACAGCTTTGCCTTGTCCTTTGCAACCGTTGCAGAAACGAACGGAAATGCATTTTGCACGTTTTGATCTTGGGGACCTTGAACATTAAAATCTGAGGCGTCCATGGCAATGCTTGTGGCACGAAGTCGACGCATTGCCCTACCCGTGCTGGTCGTACACTAAGAACCGGGTGTTCAAGCACATGCAAACAAAAAAATGAAGACCGATGAGGCAAGTATGAATTGTTTGATCAAACATGTGCCCTTGCCTCTTTTGATAGAATGAGGTGGTAGTGGCAGCATGCACACAGCTCCTTATAGCTGGCGTTGCATTTATTGGCCCTTCTCAGCCTCTGAGTCTGCTCTCAAACAAGGCTCATTGGCCCACATTTTGACACAAAGGGAACTGGCAAAATAATCTCAATCCAACACATGCCGTTTCCAGGACAGTGGACGCAGCAGCCTGAATGCATTTCCACAAACGGTTACACAGCGGTTGAGACCAGAGAGACACAGACCGGTACATGTTTTATGAGTCGATCAATAAGTTGCGCACACACACACACGTTCGGAGAAATTATGCCAAGGTCCTGTCAATGTGGGCATGAAAATTGGATATACACAAGGTCCTTGCAAGAGGAAGGTGCATTGTTGAAGCGTATGGTGAGAATCATCAGCTTGAAAGGTTTGTTTGATTTTCTTGTGGTTTGGATTGATGTATTTGCTTGTGTGTTTTGCTGCAGATGGGCAAAGCACCTGAGAATCCGAATAAGCTATCGGTGAAGGAAAAACAATCTCAGCGGTCGAAGGCCAGTCAAACCACTGACGGCTGGAGAAGTAGGTTCACATTCCCGACGGCATTCTAGTTTTTTTTTTGTGTGTGATCATCATGTGTGTGCCAGGCCAGACAATCGTCAGCAGACAAGGATAAAAGCAAAGGACTCATGCAATGGCCAGTCTTGAACTTAGACCATAAATTCCGACATATTCGCTGTCAAATTTGAGATGGATGCGGTTGTAATTAACGTTTTTACTGTTTTTTGCACATTGCACACATGCATCATGGTAATTCATCGTGCACCTCGTGCCAGTTGGAGATTCCAGAAGGTGTGACAATCCTGCATGTGGAGTATGATGTGGCGTGCCCTACCAAGTTATCGTCCCATGCGCATGACAGCTGCATTCGGCACCGCTTCTACCATTTGGATCCAGTCACCAGGCCTAAAAATGCCAACGACGCAGATTTCGCCCGAAGGACCTTGGCGCACTGCCAATTGGAGCGACAACAGACATATACAGGCAGTCAATGGCAGACTATGACATCCTGATGCATTGAGTTTTGCACCACAGACAGATTTCCGGCAGAAAATCAAATTGCCAAGAACACGTGCATCATATCGCTACCCCAACCAAAGAATATCGCAGGACATGGAGCGCCTTTCCAAAACCCGGAAACAAGGTCCGTGGTGTTTTTGCAGCTAATTTGATTATTTGCGAGTTCACTCTGGCCCTAGTACATCCCGCAGGAAATTCAGGATTTCTACAAGAAAACTCAAGAAAGCTTTGGACCGAAGGCGGAGTTGGTCGAAGTGACCACAGTACTTTGAAAAATGGTATGAAACTGGTCAAACTGGTCCTATCCGAGCCAGGTTCGTGTGATTGTGAACGAGCCAAGAGTGATCAAGGACACCGTGTATGACTGTTCCCATCTGTTCCCCCTGGGCAAAAGTTAGGCACGTCCAACATCGTCCAACAATCTTTGAGTGTATTGCCTCTATTGCTCCACACAATTCCACAGACTGTATTGAGGAGCTCCTTCCTGAAGGTGTTCCTCTCAGATATCGCAAGGGAGCTTTTGAGGCCTACACCTCAGCTTTGAGTGATCAGATGCAAAGATGCTCACCAGGAATCACGGCAAATCCAAGTACGCCGCCGTTGTGAAGACTTTTTGTTGTTTGAGGTAGTCAACTTGAATACCGGTAAGCTCCTGTTTTCCAAGCTGCAGACGGGATCATCACTTGTGTACGAGGCTGGGAGATGGATGACCATGAATATAACATAGACGAATGATATACATTAATAATGTTGGATACTGATTGGTGTAGGGCCCCCAACAATTTTGGTCTACTCAATAACTCGGCATTTTCTTGGGGACCAGGTCTGGGGAGCTCGGGATGATCAACTTCAGTAAGGATTTCAATTCTTAATTAATTTACTTTCAATTCATTTGAATCTACTTTCAATTGATTTTCCTTTTAACACTTTAAAAAAAAGGCCCCAATAGTTTTTCTGTACAATAGGGTACCATCCAACAATTACATTATTGAGGATCTGGGTCACTCATGGGGTACCCCCTTGAAAAATGTTTGGGTGCTGTTTTTTAAATAAGGGTTTAATAAGGCATCTAATTATTTGGGAAACCTTGCATTTTCAAGGCTTTAACATGGATATGACTTTCTAAAGTAGTTGGACCAGCTTTGCCCAAAGAAAGGTGGATAAAAGGTTTTGTGTTTTTTTTTCACCCCAAAAGTTTTTGTGCACAATAGGGTACCATCCAAAGAATTACATTATTGAGGATCTGGGTCACATGGTACCCCCTTGAAAAATAGTTTGGGTGTTGTTTTTAAATAAGGGCTTAATAAGGCATCTAATTATTTGGGAAACCTTGCATTTTCAATGATTTACTATGTATATGGTTTTCTAAAGTAAATGGACCAGCTTTGCCCAAAGAAAGGTGGATAAAAGGTTTTGTGTTTTTTTTTCACCCCAAAAGTTTTTGTGCACAATAGGGTACCATCCAAACAATTACATTATTGAGGATCTGGGTCACATGGGGTATCCCCTTGAAAAAATGTTTGGGGGTTGTTTTTTTAATGAGGGTTTAATAAGGCATCTAATTATTTGGGAAACCTTGCATTTTCAAGGCTTTAACATGGATATGGCTTTCTAAAGTAAATTGACCAGCTTTACCCAAAGAAAGGTGTATAAAGGTGGATAAAGCATGATAAAGCTCCTCCTGGAAAAATTCGATCTGAGAAAAAAAAACTCACAATAGAGGCTCCCCCCCATTCAGAAGATACTCAGTACTTTTTGATTTTTTTTTCACAATAGAGGCCCAGGACACTAATCGGTATCCAACATTATACAAGAAATGTATAGACAGGCTCGGTCTTGTCAGCCTTTGTGCTGTGCAGGGATACTGGGATGCCTTCACCAAGCGCTTGCAAGAGCAAATGCCGCAAGCTGCATGAGGCAGGTCATGATGCATAACAAAAGAACGCTTGGACCCTTGGCTGGTGTCGCCGCATTGTAAGGACACTCATCCAACAGCGCCAAGACCTTCTCAGTGAGACAAAGTGGATTTGCTCCACATTTGAACAGTGGCAATGATCTTTACAATAATACAAGACGTACGATAGATGCACGTTGGAGAGCTAGAGCATACACCTACCAAATTCTACTGACATGATTGTGTTTTACCTCTTTCAATTTTCGTGCGTGACCATGACGGTGGTGTTCGCGTGGAAAAGATCTACCGGTGTCATGTGTTGTGGCAACTTGGGCAGCTTGTGGAAGTTTGGAGATATGCAGCTGGTGGCAGTCCGAAGTCTTGCCGCGGTTTGGCTGTGAGGTATAGAGGAATAGACAAGACACGATTGTACCTATATACATAGTTTGAATGGAAACCATCCAACATTTGCAGTAAAGGCTAGGACATTTCTTGATCTTACAAGGCTTACAGTTTTCAGATTCTTTCTTTGATAAAGTGTATGAGCTGTAACATGCTGTAACCATCCATGGCAAGCCCACCTCCTTTGGAGGCCTGGGGAGGGGTCAGGCAGCCTGAGATTCCGCAGCGTTTCACGCAGTGTTATTTATTAGTATGCTACTGAAAGCTGTTCATACTTGGAACATTTGCATGAGTTTTTGACGTGTTTTTTTTCCCCATGCTTTTGATACTTTATGTTGTTTTGCACAGGAAATTTCAAGTTTGGACCTTACACTTGAAGCGAGGAGCTGTTCCATTCATCAAAGTCACAACACTGACGTGCAGCTGAAGGTCCAAGCGAGGAGCCAAAGTTGATTGGATCAAAGTCTGCTGGCTGGTTGCCTTCCATTCGGCCACTTTCAGGGGTTGCTGCCTCAAAAACAAAGGACATGGGAGAATGAAAGATATGCGCCGCCCAGCGGCCTGTGGTGCAGCAGTGCAACAAAAAAACACTTGCCTGACTTACCCGATTTTGTCCAGCTTTGATGAATTTTGATGATGATGCTGGACATTCTTTCAGGTTACGGCCCTTCGCCTGCAGCAGACAAAGTTTCTGTCAGTGCCGTGTTGGCCTTGGGCTTTGTCCGACAATTTGGGATAGTCAGTTTATTTTTTCCACTGATTCAGCACTTGGCCGACCGTAGACTTTGGTGGTCTGGCAATGGCAGGCATGGCAGTTTCTCACCGGCTTCGACCCAGACCCCCCTAGCAACCACATTGGAGGCTGGCAAACTGATTCGATGTTTTCAACTTCAATCTTAAGCCTGAAATAGTGAATCATTGCTCAACATGACCGTACACTAAGGTTGAAACATAAAGTAAGATACTGCAGAATGGTGATGTGGAGTTGAGGACTGGACATTCTCTGATGGTTGGGGTACATCTTCCAGGGCATTCCAACAGGTGCTGCTGGCTGGCATTGCCTGTGTTTCAAGCACTCTTACAAACCAACCTATGCAGCCGCATTTCTGGTTTTGATAGGTGTCTGCTATGAATGACAGCCATGCAGCAAGCTCAAAGATTTCTTGTCCAAAGTCATATTTCTGCTTTTCTGCAAGCTGCTAACATCAGTGCTTTGCTTGAGGTCGGGCTTCGCAAAAGCAAGTTATGGGCCAAGCCGGCCAAGCTGTAGAAAAGTGAAGGGTTTTTTAAACTGTCCTGTACAGCCATATGGCTGCTGTGCAACGCAACGTCTATCCGTGCTCATGTGCCTATGCTGCCTATGTTTTTCAGCCAAGGTCAGACGGTGCCTTGCATGGTCTGTCCCCAAAGGCTTCCTGTGAAAATGTGCTGGTCTTAGAGCCATGGAAGCCACCAGAAGCCTTCGCTCGTCGCGAAATGATACTGAGAACCTCGGAGGCTCGAGCCGGAAGCACCATATTCGCCTTGGGAAAGCAGAAGCGATCTGGAGCAACTTCGTCAGGTGCTGTTTGCGACAAGCAGAGTTTGGAATGGCTCGGCAATGTCTTGGAAAAGTGGCAAAGTCTTCCAAACAGTCTGATCTGCCCGAATCTGCCCCCAGTTTTGCTATGTTTTGCCAGGAAAGACTGAATTCGTTGACCAGGTGCGGGAGATACAGACATGCACCGTGTACCGTGCTGTGGCTGTAGCTTGAGGCTAAATTGGTGAAAGACTTTGACAAGTTGACTTCAGCCTTGGGAGAGGTCAAGAACTTGTTCGAGGCAGAAGAGAATAGAGTAAAAAATATTTAGTTCTATCAAGCTCTGTCATAGAATCATATTCATTTCATATTCAATTCATATTCATATTCATATCATATTCATATCCCATCATCTTGTTCTGGCAGGGCTTTGATCCACGTAGATCGCCTAAGAAGAAGATGACTCTTGGCCAGTTCCTTATTTTTTTTCCAAAGGATCAGTTGTCATTATTCAATATATTTCAATATGTGTTGGCATTTGGTTGGCAATCAATGCGGTGCTCAGTGCTTTGCAGGTGATCTTCTTGCAGGTGCCCACGGCCAAAAGGACGACAGTGGCCAAGGCTTGACGATTGCGGCACACTCCCAGCACATTCAAAGCACATTCCATGTGATCTGGATATAACATCTTGATAAACACAAACATCAGCAAGACTATCATAACTTATCTTAAGATTCATGTATCTCAGGATATATCACAGTATATCTACATGGTCAAAATCTTTATATTGAACAGTTTGGAGACGTCTCTGTCTTTGGCCCAGACTCCTTAGAGCTTCAACTGCGACAGGAGACGATGGTGATGCCGAAGAGGCCCTCCGGGAGGCCAAAGAGCGCTTGGCCGAAAGGCTGCAGGTGTGGACTCCCAGAGGACTCCCAATCTTCGATGGAATATGACGGAATTGCAAGGGAACTGCAAAAGGATTGAAAAAAAATCGATGGTTTCTGACTTGATCAAGTTTTCAAAGTGAATGCCTGAAGAGGGAGTTGAGCAGCTTTCTGAATGCTCACAAGACTAAGAAAAGGCCGAGCAAAATAAGAAGGCTTCTTGAGTCTGACTTGATGAGAAACCCTTTCCCTCTAAAATCTGTTGACTACTACTAAGTGAAATTCCCTCCAGCATTCTGCTACAGTTTTGCACTATACAAAGGGCAAAGTCAGCCTCCAATCAAGTAGGGATGGCATTGACTTCAGTCTAATAGCCCTGCAGTGCCCCGATTGCAGTGGCCTGCCAGCAACGCCTTTTTAACATTCATGGTCGCCAGAGCTGTGGGGAGTGCCATGCTATGGAACTTGCGAGGCCTACAAATTTGCACGCCGGATAGAACCTGAAATGCCTTCGTTGGTGGAGTCCTTGGCAGAGAAGACGTCTAGAAGCGATTTGTTGACGTGACCGATACAGTGAATGTGAGCGTTGGTGCATGTTTTCTGTTCTCTTTAACAGGTGACAATGATGTTTGGGTCTCGTACTTGCTTGTGACAGAGTACCCCACTCAGGGACCACTTCCTCCCAGTGGCCTTTCGCCTAGGCAAGTTGAATGCTGTGCTCTAGTGGTTTGATTTTTTTGAATGATAGAGTTGCCTGATGACGTAGCTATTGGCAGTTCTTGCGATTGGCTCAAAGCACTGCATTTTTTGGCAGTTTAGCCTGCAGGAAGGCACCTCTACAAACTCTTGTGGTCCGCAACACATCACAAGAGGTGGAAAGCAACGAAACTGCTGCATTCTACTTGTGACGGCGAAGCCTGTCAATACTTCAAGTGTGAATTGTACTGTGCTGGACTGACAAGCCTAAACTGCGAAGGCCATCCGGGTGTGGCTCCCACACAACCGCAAAGAAAGGATCTGCATGTTTGCCGAGGACAGCTTTTCTGAAAGGGAAAAGTACTGATGCAGAGATAGCTGACATTCATCAGGGTTTCTTTTTATCTTGCTTCAATGCTCAAGTCTTCATAGACTGTGGCAATCCTAGAATTAAAGATTCTTCCACCACTCTTACCGTAGCTGACCGAAACCAGGACAGAGATCACCGTGTGGAACCTGACAGGGCGCAGTCAAAGAATGTCAGAGCTCTACCTGAGCTAAACATTGCCAAAACGCTGTGCCAAGGACGCCGAGTTTATCAGAGCCAGCGGATCCGGATGATGGAGGCTGCACAGTCGCCTTCACATCTTCTAACATTTTCTAACATCTTCTAACATCTCCCAAGATCTTCTAAGATCTTCTAAGACCTTCTAACATCTCCTAGCATCTCCTAACAGCTTCTAACAGCTCCTAACATCTCCTAACAGCTCCTAACATCTCCTAACACCTTCTAACATCTTCTAAGATCTTCTAAGATCTTCCAGGTTTTTCTAAGATTTCAAAGAGTTCCAAGGTCTTCTAAAATCTTCTAAGATATTCTAAGATATTCTGAGATCTTCTAAGATCTTCTAAGATCTTATAACATCTTCCAAGATCTTCTAAGATCGGCTAAGATGTTCTAAGATCTTCTAAGATCTCCTAAGATCTTCTAACATGTACATCTCCTAGCAGCTCCTAACATCTCCTAACATCTTCTAACATCTGGTAACAAATCCTAACATCTTCTGACATCTCCTAACAACTTCTAACATCTTCTAACATCTTCTAACGTCTTCTAACATCTCAAAACATTTTCTAACATCTTCTAGCATCTTCTAGGATCTTCTAGCATCTTCAAGCATTTTTAAACATCTTCTAGCATCTTCTAGCATCTTCTAACATCTCCTAATATCTCCTAACACTTTCTAACATCTCCTAACACCTCCTAAAATCTTCTAACATCTTCTAACGTCTTCTGACATTGTCCAACATCTTCTAACATCGTTTGACATCTTCTGACATCGTCTGACATCTTCTGACATCTTCTGACATCTTCTGACATCTTCCAACACCTTCCAACATCTTCCAGCATCTTCTCACATCTTCTGACATCTTCTAGCATCTACTAACATCTTCTAACATCTTCTAACACCTCCTAACATCTTCTGCCATCCTCGAGCATCTCCTAACACCTTCCAACATCTTCCAGCATCTTCTCACATCTTCTGACATCTTCTAGCATCTACTAACATCTTCTAACATCTTCTAACACCTCCTAACATCTTCTGCCATCCTCGAGCATCTCCTAACACCTTCCAACATCTTCTAACATCTTCTGACATCGTCTGACATCTTCTAACATCTTCTCACATCTTCTCACATCCTTGCACATCTTCTAACATCTTCTAACATCTAGCATCTTCTAACATCTTCTAGGATCTTCTAGCATTTTGGAACATCTTCTAGCATCTTCTAACATCTTCTAACATTTCTGACATCTTCTAGCATCTTCTGCCATCTTCTAACATCTTCTGACATCTTCCAACACCTGCCAACATCTTCTAACATCTTCTGACATCTTCTGACATCTTCCAACACCTTCCAACATCTTCCAGCATCTTCTCACATCTTCTGACATCTTCTAGCATCTACTAACATCTTCTAACATCTTCTAACACCTCCTAACATCTTCTGCCATCCTCGAGCATCTCCTAACACCTTCCAACATCTTCTAACATCTTCTGACATCGTCTGACATCTTCTAACATCTTCTCACATCTTCTCACATCCTTGCACATCTTCTAACATCTTCTAACATCTAGCATCTTCTAACATCTTCTAGGATCTTCTAGCATTTTGGAACATCTTCTAGCATCTTCTAACATCTTCTAACATTTCTGACATCTTCTAGCATCTTCTGCCATCTTCTAACATCTTCTGACATCGTCTGACATCTTCTAACAACTTCTCACATCTTCTAACATCTTCTAACTCCTTCTAACATCTTCTAACACCACCTTCTAACATCTTCTAACACCTTCTAACATCCTTTCACATCTTCTAACATCTTCTCATCTTTATCTTTCTATCTTGTCTCTTCTGAGTGAATAGTCGCATAGCCCATACAGTCCTGTGTCTCTTCTTGCATGGAAAGGTTGCTGCTGAAATGATCCAGCCATTCTGTGGAGTCCCACAGTTCATTTTCGCTGATGCATCTGATACAGAATGTTGATTGGGCACAAAATCATCGTTGGGGCTTTGCGCAGAATGCTTTGCACAGGAATCTGCAAGTATCTTGCAGGAGGTTGGGTCCGTTGGGTCCAGTAAGCCATGAGTTCATCATCAGAGCGAACAGCACAGGAGTCATAGGTGACACTCGGTGGCACCCGCTCCTGCAGCGTTTTGGTCAGGACCTTGAGCGAAAAGAGGAACAAGCAAAAAACGCTGTGAGGGGCTCAGATCTGGGAGACCACAACACTATTACACTGTTTTACACTTCTTACACAAAAATACATACCATTTAATATCCATGAATTACTATTGCAATAAGCTCTTTTTCAAAGGAAGTTTCATGGAGGAAACTCCGAGTTGCGGACTTTCACATTCTCACTAGCGCAAAGATCATTGTGTCCAGTTGGCATGTGCCTTAAGAGATCATGAAGTCACATTCTCACTAGCCCAAAGATCATTGTGTCCAATGGGCACTTGCGTTAAGAGATCATGAAGTCACCTTCTCACTAGCCCAAAGATCATTGTGTCCAGTTGGCATGTGCCTTAAGAGATCATGAAGTCACCTTCTCTCTAGCCCAAAGATCATTGTGTCCAATGGGTACTTGCGTTAAGAGATCATGAAGTCACCTTCTCACTAGCCCAAAGATCATTGTGTCCAGTTGGCATGTGCCTCAAGAGATCATGAAGTCACCTTTTCACTAGCCCAGAGATCATTGTGTCCATTGTCTCCAGTTGGCATGTGCCCTTGAGGTAGTAGAGGTAGTAGAGGTAGTCGAGGTAGAGTAGAGGTAGACTAGAGATAGACTAGAGGTAGATTAGAGGTCTACTGGAGGTAGACTAGAGGTAGAGTAGAGATAGAGTAGAGAAGGGTAGTAGTAGAGCAGAGTAGAGGTGTCGTGTCTTGCGATTCTGCTTGTGTGTTTTGCAGGTCATTGTTGGCTGATCGCATTGGAATTGCTACATCATGGATGTCTTCGATGCTTGCGTTCTCGTTTAGTCTTTTAACCGCGTGGGGGAGCGAGCTGGTTTGAACGGTGGTGCGGACTGCGTGGGTGCAAGGGAGAGGATGGGAAAGGAAAGGAAAGGAAGGGAAAGGAAGGGAAAGGAAGGGAAAGGAAGGGAAAGGAAGGGAAAGGAAGGGAAAGGAAGGGAAAGGATGGGAAAGGAAGGAAAAAGGAAGGGAAAGGAAGGGAAGAAAGGGAAAGGAAGGGAAAGGAAGGGAAAGGAAGGGAAAAGAATGAATGGGAAAAGAAGCCGCTGGAGATCAGCGAGCTTGGCTGCGCGGACGGCTGCGGACGGCGTGGGTGCAAGGGTGGCTGGAAATGGGTGGGGGGAAGAAGCCGCTGGACGGCTGCGGACGGCGTGGGTGCGGAGTGGCTGGAAATGGGTGGGGAGAAGAAGCCGCTGGTGATGAGCGAGCTTGGCTGCGCGGACGGCTGCGGACGGGAAATGGGTGCGGAATTGCGCGCACGGCTGCGGACGGCGTGGGTGCTGGGTGCAAGGGAGTGGCTGGAAATGGGTAGGGAGAAGAAGCCGCTGGAGCCACTGGTGATGAGCGAGCTTGGCTGCGCGGACAGCTGCGGACGGGCAATGGGTGCGGAATTGCGCAACCGGCTGCCGACGGCGTGGGTGCAACGGAGCGGGTGGAAATGGGTGGGGAGAAGAAGCCGCTGGTGATGAGCGAGCTGGCTGCGCGGACGGCTGCGGACGGCAAATGGGTGGGGAGAATTGCGTGGACGGCTGCGGACGGCCTGGGTGCAAGGGAGTGGCTGGAAATGGGTGGGGTGAAGAAGCCGCTGGAAATCAGCGAGCTTGGCTGGGGGGACGGCTGCGGACGGCAAATGGGTGGGGAGAATTACGCGGACGGCTGCGGACAGCCTGGGTGCAAGGGAGTGGCTGGAAATGGGTGGGGAGAAGAAGCCGCTGGAAATCAGCGAGCTTGGCTGGGGGGACGGCTGCGGATGGGAAATGGGTGCGGGGAATTGCGCGGACGGCTGCGGACGGCCTGGGTGCAAGGGAGTGGCTAGAAATGGGTGGGGAGAAGAAGTCGCTGGTGATGAGCGAGCTTGGCTGCGCGGACGGCTGCGGACGGCAAATGGGTCGGGGAGAATTGCGCGGACGGCTGCGGACGGCCTGGGTGCAAGGGAGTGGCTGGAAATGGGTGGGGAGAAGAAGCCGCTGGAAATCAGCGAGCTTGGCTGGGGGGACGGCTGCGGACGGGAAATGGGTGCGGGGAATTGCGCGGACGGCTGCGGACGGCATGGGTGCAAGGGAGTGGCTAGAAATGGGTGGGGAGAAGAAGTCGCTGGTGATGAGCGAGCTTGGCTGCGCGGACGGCTGCGGACGGCAAATGGGTCGGGGAGAATGGCGCGTTTTGCAGTTGAAAGTCATAAATTGTATTGTAATGGCTGCAAGCAGGTTTTTCTTCATTTTGGTGCTGATGATTTTCCTTTAAACATTTCTTTCGAAAAGTGCTTCAAAATCGTCGTTTTTCCCCTTGGGCGTCGGGTTGCAATTTGTGTATAGCCGTTGCGCGTAGTTCTTTTGTGTTTTGCAACTCAGTCTCTGCAAATCGCAGTGGAATGGCTGCGTCAAGGTTCCTCGCTGCTGCGGCTGCGTGCGCAAAACTATTGTGTTTTGCAGCTGCGAGTCGTAAATTGTAATGTACTGGGTGCATGAAAGTTGCGAATGGTGCTTTGGCAGCAAACATCAGCAAACATATTTTTCAATTGTGGCGCATCCTGTGTAGCAGCTTCTCTGTTTAAAAACTTGCTGTGTCTCTGTGCAAAAGCTTGCTTTGTGTAAAAGCTTCTCTGTGTAAAAACTTGCTGTGTGTAAAAGCTTCTCTGTGCAAAAGCTTGCTTTGTGTAAAAGCTTCTCTGTGTAAAAATTTGCTGTGTGTAAAAGCTTCTCTGTGCAAAAGCTTGCTTTGTGTAAAAGTTCCTGTGAAAAGATTTGCTGTGTGTAAAAGTGCAATAGCTTGCTTTGTGCAAAAACTTCTCTGTGTAAGAGCTTGCTGTGTGTAAAGGCCTCTCTGTGCAAAAAATTCTCTGTGTAACAGCTTGCTTTGTGATGCGTAAAAACTTCTCTGTGCAAGAGCTTCTCTGTGCAAAAACTTGCTCTGTGAAAAAGTTTGCTCTGTGTAAAATCTTCTCTGTGTAAAAAAAATCTTGTGTAAAAACTTGCTGTGTTAGCTTGCTGTGTGCAAAAACTTGCTTTGCGTAAAAGTTTCTCTGTGCAAGAGCTTCTCCGTGCAAATGCTTGCTTTGTGAAAAATTTGCTCTGTGAAGAGTCCTCTCTGCGTAAAAAAAATCCTGTGTAAAAACTTGCTGTGTCAGCTTGCTGTGTGTAAAAAACTTGCTTTGTGTTCAAAACTTCTCTGTGTAAGAGCGTCTCTGTGCAAATGCTTGCTTTGTGATAAAGCTTGCTCTGCGAAAAATCTTCTCTGTGTAAAAACTTTCCTGTGTAAAAGCTTGCTGTGTTAGCTTAATATGTTTGTTTGCTGTGTGTAAAAGTTTCTCTGTGTAAAAACTTGCTCTGTGTAAAAACTCCTCTGTGTAAAAGCTTCTCTGTGTGAAAGTTTGCTGCGAGTAAAAACTTGCTGTGTGTAAAAACTTCTGTGTGTAAGAACTTCTCTTTGTAAGAACTTGATGTGTGTAAATGCTTCTCCGTGTAAAAACTTGCTCTGTGTGTAAGTGACAGGAGGTGAAGAGTTGAGAAGAGTTGGCCAAGGTGAGAAGAGTTGAGATGAGCTGAGAAAGAGGTGAGGTTAGTTGAGCGCAGGTGATAAGAGGTGAGAGTAGAAGAGGTGGCAAGAGGTGAGAAGAGTTGAGACGAGTTGAGAAGAGTTGAGACAAGGTGGGCAGAGGTGAGAGTCGTTGAGAAGAGTTGAGAAGAGTTGAGAAGAACAGGGAAGAGGTGAAAAGAGTTGAGCTGAGGTGGGACGAGATGGAACAACTTTGAGAGTGTTGAAAAGAGATGCGAAAATTGAGAAGAGCTGAGATGGTCTGAGAAGAGTTGAGAAGTGGTGCTCGCAATTGAAAAGGGGTGAGGCAAAATGACGACGAATTCACAGAACAGAATTGAGAAGCTGTGAGGGCCCGCTGCATCTCCTAGCAAACCTTGTCTTTGGATCCTATAGCGTCACACTTCTTAAACCTTGAAACTTCTGACACCCGCCTTGGGTGGGTTCTACTTGTAGCTCCTTCACTTATGGTTGTCACAAGTTGTCACAAGTTGTCCTTACTTTTTGGCAATTCTTGCTGTGTAGGTGGAGACTCGAAAGCTTCAGGCCAAGTTGCGAACAGAAAGCAGGCCATGAATATGAAACTCATGTAAGTCTACTGCGTCTTGGGACTGACAGAGTACACTATGATATAGCAGGTTTGCTTTTGAGAACTTACCTTGGACAGGGACTTTCCGGCAGCAAAATGGTTTGCGTCAGTTCCCTCAGCCGCCTTTTTTGTGCAGTATTAGTTGTGGCCAAAGTGATCACGCAAACTTGATTCATTGGATCATGACATGGTGAGAAAAAAGGCTGATATGGGCAGCTGGCTTTCTGCGGCAGATCCAGCAGGAAGGGTCGCATGGAAATTGAGAAAAGAAAGGATCTGGAAACGGCGCGCACCCAAATCATTGGAGTTTAAAGAAGACATGCTAGACTGGATTCTGAGTGGATCGCAACGATGTCGACAGTATCAAATGTACAGTGACTGTAGAAGAGAAACTGTAGTGATATGGTGCGCTACTAGCAAGGCCTAGCGAGGATGTTCCACAGCCAACTAACAAAGTCCTCAAGTGCTCTTGTAACATCTCATAAGCAAGAATCCTGTCTTGATTCAAGGCACGATGTGCACCCTTGATCGATTAGGGCCACTGTTACGATGATGATTGACATTGAACTAAACCGTTTCCCTGTGAGGATCAGAAGCAGCGCAAAGTACCCGTTTTGGAGCGCCACACTCTTATTTGAACCGTTACGAAAGCAGTACAAAGGTTGCTCTTTAGACAAAGACTGAGACAGCGTGCCATGCACATCCAGAACGTTCCCAGGTGTGAGCTACTTGAAGGAAAACCAAGACAGTTTGCTTGTGAAGAGGTGCCTCTGGCCCGCTGCTTGGTTTATTTTTGACTTGAGCATTCCCTTTGAGCCTGGGAGGTCCAAACTAACTTCTCCACAATTGAAGGAGGCACTGACAATGTCGAAAAAACACAGTCTCCAAGTTGATTTTTCTGGAATCCGCACGGTCCTGTGGACTGTCCAGGCGCTTCGGATGGAGACTGTAGTGCAAAGCCCTGCTGTGTCAAGGTGCCTTTCCGCTCTGAATTTTGCCCCCAATCTCAAGCATGTGTGATTTGGCGGCTAGGCTTTTCACGAGCTATGTGGCATCAGTCAAGGCGGGGATGTTAATTTGGATGGCACTAATTCGCAAGATTGAAGAGACAGTTTGAAAGATGTATGTAACATTCAGGAGTGCATCGCGTGCCTGTGCCAAGGAATACACACATGGCATGGCATCTGAGCACTAATGATCACTAATGTATCATTGGCGTTTTGCTCAGATGCGGCGCAAAATATCGATGGCAAAGGTGAACGCAAGGAAGGTCCAGAGCTCATTTGTGAGCGATCTTGGAAGGTGCAGGAGCGACTCTCGGCTTGGTGAAGTTGGAGCTAGTGACATGTGAATCATGTGGGTTGAATTGCTGTTTCGGAGCGTGTTCCAGGTCTACCAGGCGATGCGCAGTTGGCAGGCACTTGCAGCAGTGTTGCCGCTGCAGCTTGTTTGAGTTCTCCTTGATCCTTTCTCTTTTCCTGGAAACCCTTGGGTTCGCTGAGGTCGCTGGTCGAGTTATTTTTGCACTGAAGTCTGCAACTCAGATTGCCTGGATTCAAATGCGGCTCTCTTGCCTTTTGTGCAAGATGCAGTTTTTTTTTAAACAGCTGTTCTGAATTTCAGGAATGTGGCTTTTCAGGCCCTGTCTCTTTAGAATGTCTCTTGTTCACTGCTTTGCTGTGGGTGTTTTTTTTGTGCACAGAACCCTCTAACAGCTCTAGCAGGCTCGAAAGCTTCAAAGGTTCTGGAGAGCATGTTCAGTGTCTGGGCCCCACTACCGGAGTTGTGCATGCTTGCATTGCAAACAGCACTTCCTGCACATGCCCATGTTGACCGCCATGTCCTTGGATTCTACGTCGTACGTAATGAGAAGGTACCAGTATCAGCTTTGATGAAAGCCATTTCTGCCCAAGGCGGTTGCATGATCAGCGGGATAAGATTTCTCAGCGTCTGACCCTTGCGCTTTGACTTCGTACTCGCACCCATGTTTCCTCCTAGCCAGATGTGGAAGAGAATCACGCGATTGAGGCTGGGAACGCCTGGAGCGACAAGAACTCACCCAGGAGTTTTCCAAGGCCGAATTCTGATCAAATCACATTTTGTTTCGATTCAATTGTACTGCAAAAAGCATGAAAAAGACAGCAGAATTGGTGGGTCATTGGAACTTTACTCATCGGTGACCTCGTTTGCTGTCCAGTGGGAGCGCCCTCCTGCAGCGGGCCGCCGTGGTTCAACGGCCCTGGTCTTGAAAGTAAGAAGATTAAAAACCTGTCTGGTTGTCTTTAGTTGATTCTGCACCAACAAAAAGATTCTCGGCTGGCGATTTGTGGAAACAGTTGTGTTCACTTCAGCAGCCCATTTCTCTAATCTTGAGGCCTCCCTGTCGATGGAAGACAAGATCTCACTGGAAATGGTCCCAAAGGCCGACTATCGCATTGCCCTTGACTGTGGTATGTGGATGGGTTTCAGCCAGCATCCTCCTGGACAATACTTGCTAGGCTGAAAGAACCACGTTCCTGGAGCATGAATTAAGGGCAAGGCGTTACTTTCTGTCCCTACCTCAGTCAGCAGTTACAAAAGTTGCTGCGAATGGAACGATTGCTGCTCTCTAGCGCAACAACTAATTCACGTCGCTTCGCGACGGCAACCGCCCGCACCGCATCGTTGGGCAGCCGCTCGTAACTGCCAATGATGTCGGCCATTGAGACCAAAAACATCCGAAAGTACTGATTGTCGGAAAAAAAAACGCGAAGAATTTGATAGCCATGTATAGCGGACCAACACAGTTCAAAAAATAACGAAAAACATGAAAAAACGGCGAAATTGCTGTTATTTACAGTGTTTTTGCGCGGTGAGAAGCAGAAACCACTGCAAATACCATGGTTTTTGAGGGTCAGGTGGCCAAAAACACTGTAATTTACAGTGTTTTTTTAACCAACGTCAAAAAACACTGGTATTTACGATGTTTTCATTCACACCGTAACATAAAACAGCGTAATTTACGAGGTTTTTGGAAGTTTTGAAGCTAGCCGTCAAGCATGCAGAAAACAGAAAAACACTGTAAAAACCAGTGTTTCTGCTATCACAAAACGACGAAAATCAGTCCGAAAACGGGTCCAAAAACTCAAAAATCCGCCTCCGGGCCCAGCCACCTGCGGAACCGCAAAAAAAGATGTTGCAAACCAAAAAATTCAGGTCAAAAAGTTGAAAAACACGGGTTTTTTTCACTTTTCGCTTGCCGATTTTGGACGGGCGCGTTCACGAACAGGTGTCTTCCGTACTGTTTTTTACAGTGTTTTTTGAAGGCGAGCGTCACGACCTATCAAAAACAGGAGGTTTTGGACGAAAAATGCCCCCCCCCCCCAGGTAAACCTGTAACCTTTTTACGCGTGCCATCCGGAAGATCACGCCCCAGCACCTTCGGTGCGGGCGGATTTATACAGTCTTTTCAATGGGTCTCTTCCAATCTTAGGCTGCCTGCAATCGCGAATTGGGAGAAAGAGTGCCAGCAGTGGCATGAAAATTACAGTCGGTACCAAGCTTAGATCCCAATGTGGCTTCAACTGCGGGCAGGAGCGATCTTCATCAAGCTATTTGTTCAGCTCAGGCGGCTTGAGTCAAAGAGGGCTTACCAAGCGTCCTGGCCTGAGAACATCTGGGAACCCTCCTTGACATTTAGAATCTATGGGAATCTATGGGCGAAGATGTCGAAGGAACCGACCAAACAAACTTTCTGCAATGCATCCAGACTTTGCCCACTGAGGATGGGTCAAGAGAATACCTGGCTGAGTTTGAAAAAACGGCTTGCACTGCAAGTCTGGATGATGGACGGCATGGACAGCATGGACAGCATACTATTCGGATTTCAAAACTTTGTGGTGGCCACTGATTCGCCAGGTTTGAAGAGTCAGCAGACAATGCCTTTTCCTTTCCACCAAGCCGACCCATGCATTTGCCACCTGCACATCCAGTGGGTGAGGTGGGCTCGAGTCATAGCAAGCAGCCAAAACAGTTTCCTGATCAGAACGATCATGTTCATAATTGATCACAATTGTCAAAGGAAATTTCATAGAGGAAACTCCGATTTACGGAGTGAGAACATTGGCATTGCTCCAAAGATCATTGTGTCTAGTTGGCATGTTCCTGAAGGAGAGAAGTGGCTCAGAAAATATTAAGTCCAGTTGGCATGTTCCTGAAGTAGAGAAGTAGTTCACAAATCATGAAGTAGAGTGAGTAGAATAGAGTAGAGTAGAGGTCCAGCCAGTAGAGCAGAGGAGAGGAGAGGAGAGTAGAGTAGGGTAGAGTAAAGTAGAGCCGACAGTAGAGGTAAAGGTAGAGGAGGCTAGTTGTTTTTGAGCAATGTCTTGTGATGCTACTGTGTTTGGCAACTCACTGTTGGCAGATCACCTTGGAAATGCTACATCCAAGATGAGATTTGAATCCTAACATTTGCACGAAGCATTTTTTTGTAAACGGGCATTCCACTGCGGAGAAAAGTTGGCTCGTTTGCGCGACGGTTGCGGCCATCCTCGCTTTGAGTCGAATCCTGCTCGGACTGCGAGCGCGCGCGCGCTGTAACTGAGGTTTTCAAGTGACTTTTTGTCTCTTGTTGTTGATGCTGTGCGTTTGTGTTTTGCCACTCATTCTCTGCAGATCGCAGTGGAGCTGCTGCGGCAAGGTTCCTAAAAAGGTACTTGTTCTTGAGTAACTGTGAGATCTCTTTGCTGTGAGATCTCTTTGCTGTGAGACTTCTTTGCTGTGAGATTATTTCTTTCCTGTGGGATCTCTGTGCTGTGAGACTTCTTTGCTGTGAGACTTCTTTGCTGTGAGACTTCTTTGCTGTGAGACTTGTTTGCTGTGAGACTTCTTTGCTGTGAGACTTCTTTGCTGGGGGATTTCAATGACTTCCAAAGATCCAGCACACGGAAGTTAGGCATCCAAATGCCTTTGATAAAAACTTCATCATCACTCGTCATATGTCATTCATCATTCGACCTCAACAACCTCACCCATCATTCGGCATCATTCATCATCATACATCTTGATATCTTCTCTTCCATCCTCTTTTGATCTACTCCCTCCTGCTTTTGTTCGGGCCACACTGTCGTCTAGGCTCTTGTTCTCCAATTGTCTTCAGCTTGTCTCCCAGATGCTTTCTCCCAGATGTGGTCGCCCCATCGTCTCCCTTATTTCCCACCCTCCCATTTGTTTCCCATTGCCCTGCACTTATTTCATCTTGTTCCCAGATTCCCAGCTGTCTCCCATTTTCCAGATTCCCAGCTGTCTCCCAGATGTGGTCTTCCAATTGTTTCCCAAGTGTCTTCCACTTGTCACGCTTCCCAGCTGTCTCCCCAGATGTGGTCTCCCACTTGTCACCCAGTTGTTTCTGGTTGTTTTACAGATGTTGGTCTTCCGATTGCTTCCCAATCGTTTCCCAGTTTGTTCCAGATATGCTCTCCCAATTTGTCTTCCACTTGTCTCCGACAACTTTCAGTTGTCTCCCAGATGAGATCCCCCAATAATTTCTGAACCCCCTTGTCTGCCAGTTACCTCCCAGATGTGCAGATGTGTAGTGTTCCCCTTGGCTTTGAATTTGAAACCGTCGCTGCTATTGGGTTGCAAAGCTGGGTTCATTGCTGGCGCCGTGCTTTTGTGTTTTGCAACTCAGTCTCTGCAAATCGCAGTGGAATGGCTGCGTCAAGGTTCCTCGCTGCTGCGGCTGCGTGCGTGATACAAATGTCTTTTGCAGCTGAGAGTCGTAAATCGTATTGGCGTGGCTGCATCACGGGTGCGATGGGGATTGTACACCAGCGTTTGCTTCATTTTGGAGCTGATGATTTTCTTTTTGAAACTCCTTGTAAAAAGACGCCTCAAAATCGTCTTTTTCCGCTGTGTCGTCGAGATCCGGTTTTGGACCTGCAACTTCTGTTGCCTCTGCATGTTGTTCTTCTGTGTTTTGCAACTCAGTCTCTGCAGAGCGCAGTGCTTTTAAATTTGACACAGCGCTTCAAAATCGTCCTTTTTTCACATTGGCGTCAAGATCCGGTTTTGGAGCTGCAATCTCAGCTGCCATTACGTACGTTAAAGCTTGTCTGTGTAAAAGCGTGCTCTGTATAAAAGCTTCGCTTCTGTGTGTCACAGCTTGCTCTGCGTAAAAGCGTGCTCTGTGTAAAAGCGTGCTCTGTGTAAAAGCTTCCTCTGTGCAAAAGCTTCTGTGTGTACAAGCTTCCCTGTGTAACAGATTCTCTGACTCTGTCTAACTCTGTTTAACAGCTTGTCTGCGTAAGTAAAAGCTTCTCCGTGTAAAAGCTTGCTCTGTGTAAAAACTTCTGTGTGTAAAAGCTTCTGTGTGCAAAAACTTCTGTGTGTAAAAGCTTCTCTGTGTATAGCTTCTCTGTGAACAAGCTTCTCTGTGTAAAAGCTTCTCTGTGTAAAAGCTTGCTCTGTGGAAAAGCTTCTCTGTGTAAGAGCTTGCTGTCTGTACAAGTTTCTCTGTGGAAAGGCTTGCTCTGTGCAAACGTTTCTCTGTGTAAAAGCTTCTCTGTAAAAGCTTCTGTGTGTAAAAGCTTATTATCTGCTGTAAAAGTTTGCGTAAAAGCTTGCTGTGTGTAAAAACTTATCTGTGCAAACGTTTCTCTACGTAAAAAATTGTCTGTGTAAAAGCTTCTCTTTGGGAAAGCTTCTGTGTGTAAAAGCTTCTGTGTGTAGAAGCTTTTGTGTGTAAAAGTTTCTCTGTGTAAAGTTCTCTGTGAAAGGAGGTGGGAAGTGAGAAGAGTTCAGAAGAGTTGACACGGAGGTGAGAAGAGTTGAGATGAGCTGAGAAAGAGGTGGGATGAGTTGAGCAGAGGTGGGAAGAGGTGGGAAGAGTTGAGAAGAGGCGGCAAGAGGTGAGAAGAGTTGAAGCGAGTTGAGAAGAGGTGGGCAGAGGTGAAAAGAGTTGAGCTGAGGTGGAAAAAGATGAAAAAATGAGAGCTGTTGAGAAGAGTTATGAATTATGAGAAGAACTGAGAAGAGCTGAGATGCTTTGAGAAGAATTGTGAAGAGCTGAGACGTGGTGGCCGCAGTCGAAAAAGGGTGGGGCAAGGTGAGGACGAAAACATTGAGCAGGGTTGAGAAGATGTGAGGCTTCACCCCAGCTCCTAGAGGCAAAACTTGCCTTTCAACCCTGTAGTCCAACATTCCTTGCTGCTGGAAACTTCCGCCACTCGCCCCGCGCGGGTTTGACTTGTATACAAGTAGTACCCGGGCAAGCCGGGGGCGGAAGTTTCGCCTATAGAGGGGAGCAAAGACTGTGCCTACAGGGTGCGGCCAAGCCTTCTGTGCATCGCAGCAACAAGCTCTTGACTTTTCATTCCGGTGCCATCTCTTCTGAAGGTTGATCTTTTCTCATTTCATCTGGTCTCATCGCATAGCATGCAGCTTCTCTTGGAAGTTGCTCATGGCATCCCATTGTCACCGCAGTCTGTATCATCCCATCTCATCTCATCTCATGTTGTGTCTTCTCAGCTTTTTCCAACTCATCTCATCTCTTGTCATCCCACCTTATGTTTTCTCTCCTGTTCTCAGCTCTTCTCAGCTGCTCACAGCTGTTCTCATCTCTTCGTATGTCATCCTAGCTTTTATCATCTGTTCTCAGCTCATCTGAACTCTTCTTCTTTCAGCACTTGCTTGCGTCCTCTTGCAGCTGGCTTTCGTCCTGCAGAGCTCCGGTCAAAGGATCCCTTCGCAGGGCTAAAACGCCAGTAACTAGAGCTTCAAACCTTCAATTTGCTTGCCTTCCTGCGCTGCCAGCTTCCAAATTGCTTGCTTGACGTTGCTTTCTGAACTGCCTCCGGCGCCGCGGCCGGCAGCCCATAGTGCCAAACGTTGCTTTCTGCACTGAATAAAAATTAGCTTCAAACCTTCAATTTGCTTGCCTTCCTGCACTTCCAGCTTCCAACTTGCTTGCAACCTCTTGCAGCTGGCTTTCGTCCTGCACAGCTCCGGTCAAAGGATCCTTAGTGAAGGACGGATCCGGCCCACGGCCGGCAGCCCATAGTGCCAAACGTTCCTTTTTAACTGCCTAGAAACTAGCTTCAAACCTTCAATTTGCTTGCCTTCCTGCACTGCCAGCTTCGACTTGCTTGTCCTGCACAGCTCCGGTCAAAGGACCCTCTCGCAGGGCTAAAACACCATGGGAGTGACGGGCGGATCGGGCCCGCGGCCGGCAGCCCATAGTGCCAAACCTTGCTTTCTGAACTGCCTAGAAACCAGCTTCAAGCCTTCAATTTGCTTGCCTTCCTGCACTGCCAGCTTCCGACTTGCTTGCGTCCTGTTGCAGCTGGCAGTTCCGGTCAAAGGACCGTCCCGCAGGGCTAAGGCACATTGGCAGTCAGGGACGGATCGGGCCCTCGGCTGGCAGCCCACAGTGACAAACGTTGCTTTCTGAACTGCCTAGAAACTTGCTTCAAACCTTCAATTTGCTTGCCTTCCTGCTCTGCCAGCTTCCAACTTGCTTGCAGGGCCAAAACACCATGGCAGTGAGGGCTGGATCGGGCCCGCGGCCGGCAGCCCATAGTGCCAAACGTTGCTTTCTGAATTGCCTAGAAACTAGCTTCAAACCTTCAATTTGCTTGCCTTCCTGCACTGCCAGCTTCCAACTTGCTTGCGTCCTCGTGCAGCTGGCTTTCGTCCTGCACTGTGACAGCTCCGGTCAACGGACGGATCGGGCCCGCGGCCGGCAGCCCATAGTGCCAAACGTTGCGTTCTGAACTGCCTAGAAACTAGCTTCAAACCTTCAATTTGCTTGCCTTCCTGCACTGCCAGCTTCCAACTTGCTTGCGTCCTCGTGCAGCTGGCTTTCGCCCTGCACTGTGACAGCTCCGGTTAAAGGACCCTCTCGCAGGGCTAAAACTCGATGGCAGTGACGGACGGATCGGGCCCGCGGCCGGCAGCCCATAGTGCCAAGCGTTGCTTTCTGAACTGCCTCGAAACAGCATGGCTGTGAGGGACGGAACGGGCCTCCGGGTAACGGCCTGTAGCGCCTAACGTTCCTTTTGAACGGACAAGAAACTAGGTGTCTTTTTCTTTTGCCCGCCGCCAAGCTTCGAAACGCACAGCTAGCAAAGGTCGAAAACTTGCCCGCCGCCAAGCCTCGAAATGCCCAACGGCCAAGGCTCTAAAAGAGCGCCTTCGCCACAGTCAAACAGCATGGCCCCATGGCATTGAGGGACGGAACGAGCCTCCGGGCAACGGCCTGTACTGCTTGACGTTGCTTTCTGAACGGACACTTGCTGCTGGTAATTTCTCCTCTGACGCGCTCCCCCTGCTGCAAGCGGGGTCGGCGGATATTTCGCGCATCGGCTATCTCTCAAAAACGCATTTGGTGCGAGACTGCCTGAAACTTGAAAGTTGTCAGATGTGGAATCGAAACTTTCGTGCGAGGCGTCTTTCAAAGACGAACAACTGCAAATTGGCAAATCGACGCCTGAAGCGGCGATCCAAGCATGATCCGCCCCTAGCCAAACGCGTGAGAGCTTCCCCATGCATTTCGAGGTGCGTTTTGTGCTGCAAGATGCAACATTTCGCGCATCGGCTATCTCTCAAAAACGCATTTGGTGCGAGGCTTCTCTCAAATTCTGAAATCTGAAGATGTGAAATCGAAGCTTTCGCACGAAAAGTGACAGTTGAAGATGTGAAAAGGAAACTTTCGTGCGGTTCGTCCGTCAAGAACTGAAAATTGAAGTTGTGATTTCGTCCGAGACTTCCCTCGAAAACTGAACTTTGAAGATGTCAAAATGATTTTTTCGTGCGTTTTTTAAAAACGAACAACTTCAATGTTGGCAAATCGTTGCCTGAAGCGGCCGTTACGTTGCGGGACCTATCCGAGCATGATCCGCCCCTATAGCCAAACGTGTCCGGGATCCGCCGCCCTTGTGCTGTCAAACACAAAATTTCGCGCATCGGCTATCTCTCAAAAACGCATTTGGTGCGAGACTGTCTCAAATCTGAAAGTTGTCAGATGTGGAATCGAAACTTTTGTGCGACGCTTCCCTTAAAAAGTGAAAATTGAGGATGTGAAAACGAAACTGTCGTGCGAGGCGTCCCTCAAAAACAGAAAGTCGATGACATCCATTGCAATGACATTGATTGCAGTGACATTCGTTGCAGTGACACCCATTGCAGGGACATTTTTGGCAGTGACAGCAGTGACATTCATGGCAGTGATTTCCAAAGATCCGTAACACGGAAGTATAGACTTCCAATCTTCCTTTGCTTATGTCACGTATTTCGAAGCATTTCATGGCCCCAGAAGGCTGAAAGGCCTTTTGAACTTGTTATGCTAAGCAGTACAGGCAACCAGAGGGGCAATCTGTTCCATTGGCTGCCCGGGCCGAAGAGGTGACGAGGCGATCTCTGGGTTTTTGGTCAATTTTGGCCTTTCATTTTTTCACATTTTTTCTATGTCCACGATTTGTTCACACATGATGCAGGAAATCTTGGACATGTGGCGCCGATGTCGACAAGATCCCTTGAGCTGGAAACCTGTGCCAAGGCCTGCTCTACGATGCAGCATGGAGACACGATGAGATTTTTGAGACGTTTGAGATGTTTGAGACGTGTGTCATTCCTCCAAAGGATTGATAAAGATTGCCAGGATTGCTAGTCAGGTACAAGAAGCGCTGGAAGAAATTCTTCCACCCATTTCACTTCATGTGGCCTTATCTCTTTTCCCTTTTGCACTTTGCAACACCTACGTTGTTTTTTCCCTCCGAACATATGTTTGATCAAAGTGAAACTGACCACCGTGCCAGGACGGGCGTGAAAGAGTTTGCAACAAAGAAGGAAAAAAGGGTTGCCCTTGCAGAGGACAGACATGGGCTCTGCTGACGCTAAGTGATGAAATCGAATTGCTGTCTGTTGGAGACACTTGTTGATGCTTGTTCTTTTCGGAGGTATTGTAATGATTTTCCAGCCACTCATGCTATCCAACTGGTCAAAGGGCCACCTGCTGTAGTGGAACAAGTGAGAGTGCAAACGCTTTGTAGTCCTTGGCGTGGTTGAGTTTGCAGGATTCGCCGAAGTTTACATCGTTTGCCTGGCTTGTTTAAATGTGCTGGCACTTCCCAGTGGTTTCCTCGCCAATTTGCACAATTTTATTCCAACATGTACCGGACGTGTGTTTTAGTGGAGACTGAAGAGCCCTGGGCTGTGAGGTTTTTTTGATTCTTTATTATCTACTAGATTCCCCTAGATTCACTAGATGTAGCGTCTCTTGAATCATGCAGAGGCAATTCATTGCAATCCGGACCAAGATTGAGTCAGCTGTGCAGATGATCAATGTGAGGCTGGATGCCTTACTGGACAATGACAAGGATCAATTCTTTGGTGATGCACCAGATGCGGAAGCGTTCCTTGGCCGCACACGCTTTTATTCTTGAAATATTGAGTCTATCAAGTTCCACGACCACAACCAGTTTTTATGAGACACATGGGCAACAACCGCAGTAAACCCTTCCAACGCGTGGTGATTGCTGTCGGCCCGCTTGTGTCTCAGGAGAGCCTTCGGTGTTGATGCTGCGTTGATGCCAGGCAGAGGGCTTCCACTCAACTTCATTCAACTTCCATACACTGAAAGTCCTCGTTTTTTCCAGATCTGAAAGTCCTCGTCTCGCCTTTTCCCTGGTGAAATCAAGCGGAGGTGGTGAGCCACCAGCAGAAGATGAAGCATTGCCAGTGTCACTACCGTGTTAATTGCGATCAAACGGCTAACTGGCTGGCACAAGTAGAAAACAAAAAACAGCTCTAAGCTCAGGAATGGTTGGTAATTGGTGTTGTGACTTGGGTCATTCTTCAAAGGTTCAGTTCTGATGCAACTGGTTACTTGACGTGAAGTGCAGTGCCAAAGGCATGCACACAAGAGACCCAGCCTGGCCAATGCTAGGGCCATGAGGGGTTTGTCAGTGTCACCGTGCTGGCAGATGTTCGAAGAACACATTCGCCAGCTGGACATGTTCACCAGCTGGCTGAATATTTGTTGTCACCAGCCAGAACGACATCAGACGTGCCGCAAGCATTGCTAGAAATAGGCCAACATCTACAGCACTTTGCATTAACGAAGGGCAGCAACCAAGCAAGCGAATTCATCTTCTGGCACTGGCTCTACTTCATGTATGTGCTCCATGGTTTGATGTATTTCATATTCGGATCAAGCTGAAAAACTCAAGTTTTGAAGATGGCGAAGGCAAAGCCGCTTGGCTCTTGGCTTTTGAACAGGAACATCAGGAAATGCTCTGGTTAAAGCACATATCTCCTTTGCCTGTTCCACCCGTTCCCCACAATCAAGTCTGTTTGAGGTCTGACATCGTGGGATGGTCAGACCCCCAAACCGAACGGATGCTACACTGTGATCATGTTCTCATTGTTGGGTAGAAGATGCTTGGCAGTTTGAGATCTGTGTTTGGACCAAGGTATGATTTGAGCTGGTCGGGAGGTAGCTTTCCCATCTGCTTTAGACCAGCAAAAGCCTTGGACAAACAAACATCGAGACATGCGCGTTATGACATTATGCTCGTTTGCACCATTCAATGCGGCTTTCTGAGCAGGGTTTTGAAACCAAACTTGGCCGAGGCTGGAGTATTCTTTTGCCCCAAGTTTCAGCAGCCTGCGCGGCCCAGAACCCAGAACAAAGCATTGCGTCCTTTTGTGATGATCCTTGACAGACTCAGGTGGGAGCTAGAAGACGATGTCATCAAGATCCTTGACAAAACCCTTGTTTATGTTGTAAGGTCAAGGTCCAAGGTGCCTATGTGTCCGAGTAAGTTTTGAGGCCGCAGAGACGCAGCGCAGTCAATTTCTTGTTCATAGATCACTGAGTCCCCTTGAATCTACAAGGATAGATTGGAAAAGATTCGGCAAGCCCAGCACTCAGACATGTTATGTTCAATTTTAATGATTCGAACAGACTTAACGTCAATGTTGCCTGAGCCTTTGTTGATTTTTGTTGGTGGTCGAGTTTCAGTCAAAAGAAGAGAGCTCCAAGGATAGCGGTATACGTGTGCAGAAGTGCTAGACATTTTGGTTTTCCCAGAACTGTGGATGCTTCAGTCTCTTAGGTACGAGCTGAAGTTTCATGCCGAGACCAAATCTATGGAAGCAACTTTGCCAAATCCAACATGAATGATCATGCATGATACAATTTGAATGCATTATATATATATATATACAATATATATATAGATACTTTAAATCATTTCAGCTTGCATGGGGGCACGGTTGTTGCAACTTAGGGCAATGCACTGCCAAAGAGCGATGACGAGAAGAACTGGCGGAAGGCTGCCCTGGGTCCAGGCTATGCAGGCATTATGCGGCATTATGCATCACAAACTTCCTGGAGGATTGGGACTCTAAAAATATAACATGGACAGAGCGGACAGAGTGGACAGAGCGGACAGAGTGGACAGATATGTAGGGCAGTCTGGTTCGTGACGTGTTTTGTCATTGTGGGTCTAAAGGATCACAACTTGCTAAGCCCTAGAAAACTAGACAACAAGACACAAGGGCAACTTAGACCCAAAGCCACAGGACCTCAAGGGAAAATTTCGATGCATTTCCAACCCTGTCTCGAACGATTGTACGCTCGTATTCCTTTTTGAACCGTTCTCTCTCCCCCTCTCTCTCTCTCTGTCTTTATTCTGATATTGCAATCATTGAAATATATTGAAATGGAATCTAACCGGCCTAACCGGAGCATAGCGGTAAGTTTCCACAAAGCTTTCACTTGGTTCTCAAATGTTCTCAAGGCAGCCTTCAGCCATGCGCTGTCACCAGTGGAGGTGCACCTGACTTGGGCAATGCCCGAGCACTGAGCCCAACGAAACCAACAGACTATTCGTTTTGTCCGTTTCCAAGGTTTTGCTACTGGGAGATGGTGCTGGTTCCGAATGGGATTTTGAATGGCCAGAATCTTAGAACATCCATGAATCTGAATACATGTTCAATCATTTTCACCTCTTTTCAGCTTGCCTCCCTTTGTGCACACGTGAATATTTCAATGTGCCAAAGGTCAGGAGGCAAGTTCCCTGTGAAGTTCAAGGACCTTTCGTCACTTTCACTGTTTCGTCACTGTTTCCCTATCCATGTTTGGATGTGAGCGATTCGCTGTACTGAGGAGGGAATCTTGGGTATTGGGTGCGGGTGCAGGCTGACGGCTTCAACCATTTTCAGTGTGACGAGTTTCCAGCACACGCGCCCTGCACTTGGACTATCTTGGACTATCTTGGACTACTGGCTTTTTTCATCCAATTCTGCAACACACCAATTGCCAACGCGATGGATGCAGTGAGGTTGGCTCAAAGCAGTGCTGTGTCCCTGGGTACTATCTTTTGATAGGCAATGATTGCAGAGATGCATCATTGAAATAGCCCTATAGTCGCCTCTAGTCCTATAGAAATATCAATTCCACTTCTTCTCTTTGGATGTTTTTCTTCCTTGCGACTATCGAACAATATCGAACATGCTTGCCGCACCGCACCATGTTGCCCCTTGGCCAGGGGGTAGGAATGACGTGCGCACGAGGTGTGGCCACATCCCAGGCAACGCTGCGGGTTGCAGAGGCTATGCCTATGCCGGCTATGCCGTCGCAGGAACTTGTCTAACTCGAGTGGTTCAAGTGGCTCGAACACGGCCTTGCAGCTTCACAAGAAGTCCCTTGTCCAACCTGAGTCAAATAGGTCCAACATTGGTTTGCCCTTTTTCTGTTCTTTACACCTGAATGTTTGCACATGTTCGCACCATTTTCCACCAAGAGTTTTGATTCCAATCCCTGTTTCATGAGCGACGGCTTTAGTAACTTGAGTATGTGCCAGGTGCAACAGCAGGTGCAATGCCTCTAGATCACAGAGAACAAATGGATTCTGAACTGAGTGAATTTGTTGCTTCAGTGGCATCACAGCCATCAGACCGGACCCGAAGAGCAAAATTCATCAGACGGATTGAGGAGATGGTAAAAAAAGCCCTGGGTTCAGACGCAAAGATCCTGGTATACGGCTCTTGCTTTACAGACACAGGTGAAAGCAATGCTGACATTGATGCTACCATCTATGTGCCAATGACGTGCAGAAGAGCTCAATCCAGATCCAGTCCTCTAGCCCAACGCAGACAGATGCTTCGTGAGGTTGTCTCCAGATGCCGACAATCTGGTTTGGAAGTCATAGAGAGTCGACATGCTGCTGGTACAGTTACGGTACAAGAATCCGTTTCTGTTCATTTGACAAGCAACACTTTCCGTTCATATCCCACTGTTCGCTGCATTCTGAGCTGCCAACGATTGATGCCGCTCTACAGCTCGCATCTGATCCGTGCCTGGGAGTGCTGGGAGCGAAATGAACAATCCATAGATTCCATAGATGTCATGCACGATGAATTCAATGAATTCTGACAAATCACGAAAGCTAGCGTCAGCTAGCTGGAGTCTTCTTGCTTTAGCAAGTATTGGGGGGGCTGCTCAAGGACATCACGTGATTTTTCACGCGAAAGGGGGGGACACCCCCCCCTCCCCCCCCCACCACCACCATCACCACCATCACCACCACCACCATCATCATCATCATCATCATCCTCGTCATCATCATCGTCATCATCATCGTCGTCCTCGTCATCGTCCTCGTCATCGTCATCGTCATCGTCATCATCATCATCATCATCATCACCACCATCACCACCACCATCATCATCATCATCATCATCGTCATCATCATCGTCATCATCATCGTCGTCCTCGTCATCGTCCTCGTCATCGTCATCGTCATCGTCATCGTCATCATCATCATCATCATCATCATCACCACCATCACCACCATCATCATCATCATCATCACCATCACCACCATCATCATCATCATCATCATCGTCATCGTCATCATCATCGTCATCATCATCGTCATCATCATCTCATCATCGTCATCGTCCTCTCCATCGTCCTCGTCCTCGTCCTCGTCCTCGTCCTCGTCATCGTCATCATCATCATCATCATCATCATCCTCATCCTCATCATCGTCGTCCTCGTCATCGTCCTCGTCATCGTCATCGTCATCATCATCGTCGTCATCGTCATCATCATCATCATCATCATCCTCGTCATCATCATCATCATCATCATCATTCATCATTCATCATTCATCATTCATCATTCATCATTCATCATTCATCATTCATCATTCATCATTCATCATTCATCATTCATCATTCATTCATCATCATCATCATCATCGTTATTCATTTACATTTTATCATTATTGGCAATTATTGTCATTATCACGAAAGCTAGCGTCAGCTCGCTGGAGTCTTCTTGCTTTAGCACGTATTCCGGGGCTCCCCAAGGACATCACGTGATTTTTCCCGCGAAAGGGCCCCCCCCTGCCCCCTCCCCCATATATATCATTGTTATATATCATATATCAATATATCATTGTTGCATCCTCGTTGGGACGAACAATGCCGCGACACGATGATGACAGTCCCTCCGCAACTCACTTCTTCCCTTCCTTCTTTCTCCTACCCCGCTAGCTTTCGTCATCCACCCCCGGCCTCAAGTTATGATTCTATGGATTTCTATGGTATACGAATACATATAATATATACGATAACTTACGATATGGCAGTGTTACAATTTGAAACGCCCCCCCACACGATGACGTATTGACATGAAGGAGTTCTCAATCTTTCCCGCAGGTGCCTATGTGCAGCTAGATGGTCGACTGAAAAGCCTAATTCTGGCACTGAAGCACTGGGCCCGTGCAGCAGGTGTATTGAAGAAGCAGGATGGCTACTTGTGACTGAATTAAGATGAATTCAGGTTGGGTAGAGTTCCTTCAAATGTACAAACCTATTTTCTAGAATCCACTGACAAGGCTGATGATGACTCCAGATGTTCTGGCAGAAGCGATGTCTGTCAGATTTTAGTGAAAGGTTTCTGTCCGGAGTCCAGTGAAGCATAGTGAAGCATGACAAGTGAACAATGGGATGGAGCAGACTTCTTTGTGCCTTGAGGCTTTGTACCTTCCTATGTTATATCTCTCATGGTGCAAACCTTAGCTGTTTTTGAATGGCCGGCTTTAACATTGCGACCGGTGCGGGTCAGATTCTGGATGGCTAAGGCGATCTACTATGAAACTTGGACTGTATGGGTCTTGCGATATGTTTACAACTCGTTGCCTTCACAATGGAAACAAATGACAATGAGGCCAAAGGTCTTTTGGGATTCTTGGAGCCTTTTGTTTCCACTTGAGGCCCAGGTGTGCCATCAATTGCCATCCCTCCACCAACTGGCCAAATCTTCTCGACAGCGAGGCTGGGCAGTGACCAGGTCATGACACTTGTGTGGCGCACATCAACTTAGACGAAGCCATGAGTTCGCTGCATCAGACAGGAGCCAGCAGCGAAATGTTTGTGACCAGCTTGTCACTCTGGAGGCTCCGAAGTGGAGCAGCACTTTGACACAGAGTTCTTCACCTTCAAAGATGTTGGGAGTGTAGCATTTGCAAGTAGAGACAGCGAGGCAACTGCCGGGTTCCTTGTTGGCTGCTTTGACTTTTTTGACACGCGCTTTGATTGGACAAATGAAGTCGTGTCTGTGCGAATGGGACAACGTCGCACAACGGATGCTGCCTGTTTTCGGAATTTGTGGGGCAAAGGGCAGACTGGTTTCCACGTTGAGGACCCCATCGCCGCTCAGAAGACATTTGAATCTTTGAGTTTGAACGGATGGCAGCTCTCGACGCAAAACGGTCAAGCTTACCATGTCCATATGTCGTCTAAAAAGTCTAACATGGATTGAGAGACTGACAGCTTTTTGTTGCTTCTATGGGTTCTCTTTTCCGAAGCAAGGAGTGGTCCTAGTTTATCTGCAAAGCTTTTGTCCACTTAGGAGTTGGGAAGAAATGCAACAGCAGGTATTCGTCCTGAAGTCGTCCAACAGCTGCGATCCGCTTTGGCCGAGTGCCAGTGCCAACGGAGCCAACGCAGCTTAGCCGAGCTCCTCTGCCCAGATGGGAGCCCTCTTCCAACTGCTGATCCTTGCCAGATTCAGATGATGATGCAGCCGAAAAGACATTTTGAAATGGCAGATTTGGAACACGGAACTCATGTTTGTATGATTTGTGGTGTGCAGTACAATGATGCCTGGCTCCTTCGACAACATCAAGTGGACCTTGCGCATTTCAATACTGACAAGCCCGAAGAACTTGTCATCGGACGAAAAAAAGAAGAGATGACTCGATCTCACACATTGAGGCGGCTTCAGGATGAGATTTCTGGAGTCTCTTTCGAATAGTGCTTTGAGCTCCTTATTCTGCCAATCTCCAACATTGCTTACTGCCTGAACAAGCAGCTCCAGAACCAGTCCACGCAAGGATCTGCGAGATCTCCGCGCGTTTGCTCCATGCCCTCGTCGAACTTTTCATCAAGTGACACACTGAACGTGGAACATAAAATGTGGAACAAGCATAGCTCCGAGATTCTCCACATTCCCTACTGAGCAATAAAGAAGCTGATTCTACCGTCAGGACGATTGCAAGATGCCTGGGTGCGCCAAAAACGAAGTTTGAACTAGGTCACACTTTGCTGACAAGTACTCAATCTATGTAGGACTGTGTGGAAGAATCAATGAAAATTACATGATGTCAATGTTTGAAGTACATTGGCTTTGTTGGGAAGAAAATGCAACTGCATCGAGCCGTATGGTCCGTATCGCAGCTAGCACCTAGTGTGCACTGAAACTGATGGCAGCTTCAAATCAGCTCTCTGAGGCACTGGTCCTTGGAGGGAGACGTCGTGAGAATAAACTGGGCAGATTTTGGTCCGGACCCGTGTCACAATGTGAGATTTGGTTTAGAGCATTTCGGAGCCATCCAAGGGCAGATTGAGACAATTTGAGACAGATCTTGCTTTAGTCTACTTTAGTTGCCATTATCAAAGCTATGCGTTGGTTCATCATTTTCGGCCTCATCCATGTCCATTGTTGCTTTCGCTGAAACTGCTGGCTTCCGAGGCAATTATGACATGAAGGTCAATACAAGTGAATCTACGATGGACGGATCCATGGTAGGGTTCTGCCAGCTTGTTTATTGGCAGTGCACGTAACAAAACATGGCGAAGCTGTCTTGCAGCGTCACAGATCATTGTGTCCCAGGGGTGACGCTGCCAAAGATTGGCGAAAGGCAGGTATCTCGTCGTTCTCGTTGTGTCTTTGAAAGAACTCCGTGCCAGATGCGTCAGGCGAAGTTCCTGCGGAATCTAGTGGACATGACAACTGCGGCCTGCGAACATCACTAAGCTTTGGCATGTACATAGCACATTGGAAGAACTGAGGGGTGGAGCTTCTCTGTAGTGGTCCTGTTAGGTAGCACGGTATCAGTAGGCATTTGTAAATAAATGGAGTCTGCACGTGAGTGTAGGTCCGGATCAATTGCCGAAGAGAAGCACAAGAAATGTGTGTTGATCAATTGCATGCGTATTCTTATTATTCTTGCATTTCTTGCATCTTTTTCGTGGGCAGAGTCTTACGAGACCGGACAAAACAAGCTTTCAGAAACATATCGAAGGCTGAAGGCCACAGCTTTTCCGCAGCTTTGGAGTCAGACAGCGAAGCGCGGCGGATGGGGACCAAAGACATCAGCCGGTGAGGCAAGTACTGTGCCTGTTTCATCCTGTTTCACTGTCCACTGATTGGCATCGGTTTGAATGCAGATGAATGCAGATGAATGCAGATGAATGCAGAATTGCTGTCAGTTCAGGTGTTGGTCACAATTATTCTAGATTCTAGAGCAAAAATAGCCACCCCCATGGTAAAGCTGGGTAGCGATTGCAATTGTTTCCGGGTAATGCTTTCACACAAAACAAAAGCCTCGGCACATTCGGCGCAGGTGGATTTTGAAGCGTTTTGCATTCAATGGTGCTTGCCCTGTCGTTTTGCCAAGGAATCCATCAGATAGGATTGATAGGACAAACCAAAAGTATGTAATTACAGTAATTCAATACCCAGAATATAGAAACTGATGACTGGACTTCAGCTTTGATAGAATATTGTTTCCTTTGTTTCCTTTGTTCCTGTGAGGCCGCCTGGGTGCAGGATGCGGAGAGCATGGGACTTACAGAAAGCTGAAATTTGGCTTTGCTCATTTGGTGGACTTGGTAGCAAGTGCAGCTTGTCATGATAGCATTTCTTCATTACTTACTAGCTGGCAGATACTCAACTAACTAAAGTTTGCCTGGCCTGAGAACCCTCTAATAATATCGTGTTACATTGGAAAGACGAAAGATCCTGGCTTGAGTCATTGAGAAACTGTTCCAAATTCGTCATGCTTGAGGTTTTGCTCTTTTTGGCCTGCTTGAGACTGCCAGTGGAGGCAAATATCTGTGTGAGAGTTGAGCTTCATTCCCTTCCACAATCTCTCGCCCTCCACAGTATGAAGTCCTTCGTATGGATGGACAAGTTTTTGGACCAAAGTCAACTTTGCGACGAGAATTTCCACGCAGAAGGAACCAAGATATCGCTTGTCTGTTGTGCAGTCCCTTGCCACTGAAGCATCGGAGACAGACAACAGTCTCCGTCTGGTCATTGTTTTGACAAATTTTGTACGTTCGGGGGAAAATTGAAGTGTAGAGGGAGAAAATCGGTAGTGACGTGTATCCTTGAAGCATCATTTGCGGCGCGAGGCGGCTTACTTTACCCTGCACGAGGAGCCCTGAATCACATTCTACGTGACATCTGTAGCAAGATCAGGGTGACAACTCCAAACTTCCGCCTGACAGGGTGAAGAAAAGTGCTTTGTCGAAACCGTACCTCAGCATCAGGCCCGCTGTGCTCTCTGATGCCCCCTTTTCTGGACATTGTTGGATGGACAATGGCTCGTCACACAGGTCCTGACAGTGAAGTACAGGCATGCTGAAAACCCAGGTGTTGAGTCAGGACCTTATAGCCTTAGAAACTTACAAACTAAATGTTTAATAATGTTTTCAGCAGAATTAGCGGAAGCACTGAGAAATACGAAGTCTTCAACTCCACCTGCTTGCTCTTTAGGTGCATGGTCGTTTTCAAGGATCCTCAGCAAAAGCAGGTCAGACAGTCGTCAATCCAAAGTGGCGGACCACACCGAAGATTCCAAGTGCAGCGGCAACTGCTTTTCCATTTCACACGTGTCAGTTGACACCGTGTCAGGTCTTCTCCAAAAGGGTCGGCCATGAGGTGCCAAGATTGTCAGATTGGCTGTAGACCTAGGTAGACACAGAAGGGAAGAGATCCGTTGTGAGCAACGAGATCAGCAACTTGTAACAGCGCAACAATCTCCAAAGAATCTCCAAAATGTCGACCAGGACTCTGAGCAGGGAAGAACAGCCTACATGACGCAGCAGCGTGGTGATCATCGCCAGAGACCAAGGTAGAAATGATCGATCTGCATCGATCTGCCAGAATTGACTGACGAGACACTCCTCAGCCCTGTCATGTCTTTTGATTGAGGCATATGTGTCCAATGTACAGCTTCACGTCAGCCGCTCATGCTTTCGCGCGTCAGAACCCACTGCTCTCAAGGATTGTGTCAACGCTGTGGTCTCTTATCTTCAGGTTTTGAGGAGAAAGTCATAGAATAACTATCATTTGAAGTTTTCACCCCAAATCTTTTGGTATTTTTCGTATTCTAGATACTAGGACTGCATCAACAGGTTTTGCGTGCATCTTACTACCATCGTTGCAGGTTGGTTTGAAAAGACCGCTCTCAAGTGGGAACTAAGCATCGACATGGGTGACACAGACTTCACAAAGCAACAGCCTAAGCTTTGCAACACTTTTTGCATACGTGGCACAAACGCAGGGCACTGTTGGCAGACTTTGCCCGTTTGCCCAGGAGCCCCGCCACCAAAGGAAATGTGAAAGGGGTCGAGAGGCGCATTGCCGCATTACCCAGTCTTAGACCTGCAGAGTCAAAAGTTGAAAAGTTGGGTCTAGTCTAGTCCAGGATTGGTGAGGCTTTGCAGTAGTTTACTGTAGTTTTTGTGTTTGAATTGCTGAAATGCTCCCTGATCAAGGTGGGTTTTGAGCACCCTTGCTCGAGCAGAAGCAGTGTCTGCAGAGAATGAGTGCCCAGCTTCAGAATTTTTCAGATTGAGTATGTTGCAGCTGTGATGTGCAAGGACCATCAAGAGGCTTGTTGTGTGATAAGTTGATAAGACGAAGATGCCCAGAACATTTGTGATCTCCCCTATTCTCCCCTTCAGCCGTTCTGGAAGCACGTCTCTGCTACATTTGTAGGGCTGTTTTCCAGGAAAGCTACTTTGCCAACAGAGCTTGCATTCTTTTCCCGTCATCACAATGTTACGTTGTGGGTATTTTTTTGAACGCATAGCTGTATATGAACGTATGAAGTTGCTGACAGTACTTGTCACAGGTTTGTGAGGCTTCAATTTAGTGTGACTTTGAGGTGCCTTTTCACAATGACTCACAATCGTCTGGATGTGCAGGCCATGAGTGACACTTTGCTGCTGCCTTTTCAGCTTCAAAGAACAGAGTGGACATCGTCAATGGGTTGGTTCAGAGGCAATTCGCACCAGCGCCGCGTACATTCACGTCAGGTGAGACTGCTTGGAATATTGCAAGCATCGAACCATCACATTGCCAAACACATTAGCCAAACCACCACAGTCTACATGCAGTGAACTCTCAACCAACCAGACACAATTGCCACACACAAACACAACTCGTACAGATTCAAGTGCTAGCGTGGTTTTTGCCAAGAGACAGCTTCTCACTGTGGCAATGCACCTTGCAAATGCAGCCAGCTTGCTTTGATCCGGTGCCTGTCCCAAACAGAGTGGAACAGAAATGCGAACAGTTGAAGGAGTCAAGGAAAAATATACTTCACTTCTCATGACCAGTGTTTGAATTTGTTCGTGACTGAGTATAAGTGCAAGGCCCTGCAAGGCCCTGCAAGACTTCTGAGAGTCTAATCAGAGAAAGCTATGCTGACTGCAATTGTCTTGGAACTTGCAGGTGCTAGTTGCAAATGCCTCGCCGATTGCATCAGGCAGTTGGTCCTCAGAACAGGTGAAGGTGTTCTGTCGTCAATCTTGCCTTAGTTTATGCTTGAGTGGTCACCACAGTGCCATTGGCTGATTTGATCGGTGGTACTTTTTATCCAGACAAAGTCTGTGTCAAAAGGTGGGATTTCCATGGATTTCCAGCAGTTGTAGGGGTAAGGGGCCAGATGTAGCCAGTGCGATCACTGCACATCAGGTCCAAGCTCCCAGGGGCATTCGAAAACAGAGCCATCACCAGAGGCTATCGATGCCGGGCCGACAGACTTGCCGACGACATGCGATGACACGTTGAGACACGTTGACACTTGCTTTTGTAGGAAGCAAAGAATCAGATTTTATCATTATTGATTATTCTTGATCTTGCATCATCCAATCGAGACATAATTTAACTTTGGACTTTGGACTTGATGTCTTGAGGCTTCTAGAACGACATCTTCACTGCGCAACTCCAGGATGGGCAGTTTACTTGTTTTGTTTCTGATGCTAAACCCACCATGGAACGGCGATCTTGCCAAAAAATGAGTTTTTTTTTTTGATGGTTTTTATGACATTTTGTTTTCAACGGCTGAAATGGCAGTTGCAAGTATGAGCTTGATTTCAGGCCGGATATCGCCAACGAGAATGGGACGTCCAAGATCAAATTCTTTAAGGAACCTGCGAGAGGGCTGATTGCCACTGAATACACGACCCATTGGAAGGGCTGAAGTGTACTGAAGTTTAGAGATAGCTTGACAACAGAAGGAACAAATGGCAAGGCTTTCTTGACTTTGTTTTCTACGCTTGGGCTGAAGGGCGTTTTGGGATAACATCAAACCTTCAGCAACCAAAAAAACTCACCCTGAACTCAAATAGGCAAACGGGAGGTAATTGATGCAAGTGGCATCACGTCCGACGTGCCATCAGACATGTTTACACCTCTTTGTAATGCTTCACACTTTTCTTGCAAACCATGTGTGGCTGCCGTAACCCTGAGAATGGCTCAGATAGACTTGATACATTTGGCAAACCGGCAAACCTTGGAGACAGTGACAGCCCCTGGACTCCCTGGACTCCATGGACTCCCTGGACTCCCTGGACTTTAGACACCTTTCTCAGCCTTTCTCACCTTTCTTGTGGTGGTTTCAAACCCATGCTGTTCACATCTGTTCACTATCTTTCTCCAATGCGATCCACTCTGGTTTCTTACGTTTGCCCTGTCACAAGCGTCTTGGTTGTTGGTTTCCTTGAGCACAAGTGGCTGCATTTGAAAGCTTGCTGTATTTGCCAAGATCTTTCGCCAATTTGGTCAAAGTAAGTAGATTAGCTTGTACAGTTTTGTTACTTGCAAGTCGATGGGTTGGGAACAAAATTATATGCAACCAACGCTTCAGGGCCCATACGAAGAAGATGATGATGGACTAATCAGAAAGAAGGCGCGCAGAGCTCTTGTCCAGCTCTAATTAATATCAACAAATGTCAACAAGAAGGCAAAGGCTGCAAACTGAGCACTGTGTGGCAGTTCTGCAGGGTGCATCGAGTCCAGATGCGTCCCCGAGCAGACTTTCTGGAAGTCGGACTGCCAGTTGACGTGGAATCAAGGAGAAACAATCTGCAGCAGTTTGTTCTGCAGAGTTGGACATAGCGGTGAACTATGATGAATTGTGATGAATCCAATCTTTCCTCCAGCGCAACGCCTGTGCTTATAGCCATAGCAATGGGCTTGCAACTAAGAGCAAAGTGTAGTATTGTCTTACACTTGGGGAGGTTGGGGATTGTTTGAGGAGCTTCAGGTTCGGGTGTTTTCCAAAATGCTGTCCAAGTATTGTGGTGATATGTGGTGATTTGCTGCACCCAAGACAAGCAATTTTCTTCTATGTGGGGTCTATGATGGTACAATTTGTTCTAGTGGCCAAAGATCAGTTTGTATGAGTTTCTGCTATTGTTTTTCTTCAGCGATGGGGAATCAAAACACGAAATAGATCAAAATCGTGTGTATAAGTGCTTGTTCTTCATGGTGGTGACGATGCGGATATTTTGTGGCTCGACGGTACTTCCAAGTTGAGGCCCAGTGAGTGCCTATCCCACGTACAAGCCGGGTGCTGTTCAGGCAGTGGCTTCAAAACTCCAGCGAACACATGGACTGTCACAGACTGTCTCTGAGCACTGACCGTGTTGTCTTGAGGCATCTACACCTGTTCCACCGCCGCGAATGGGTTTCTCACCACCATCCAGTGGAATGTGCGGAGCACAGATGTGACAGACGTGACAGACGTGACAGACGTGACAGACGTGACAGACGTGACAAAAGCAACGTGACAACGTGATAGCCATGCCATGCCGTGCTGAGCTTCTGTGGGTTTCGGCTTGTGGTCAGGCCAACGGGATCACCCTTTGGAGGAATGTCACCTCCGCCAGGCTCACATCCAACAACTCCAACAACTCCAACAACCCAGTCGATTGTCAAAGACACCAAGTGCCCTATTCCTTTCAAAGCTGTGTCACAGGTGGAGCATCCTTTTCCATGTATGGTCTCTTTCTGAGATACTCTGTGCCAGATTCCGTTCGATGCTGCTGTATGGATTCTTTTTTTGTGTTTCAATGGCAAAAGAATGCAAAAGAGAGAACAACTGCGGGAAAATGCACGTTTTTCAGCTTGAGATACCGCCGTCTTAGGTGGTGACACGCCTGGTGCCACAACACCTGGAGCGTACACTCCAATAGGCTTCACTCCCACTGGATACACACCAGGCAGCTACACGCCAGATGCTCGGAGAGATGTCAGAGTTGCTTGGAGCTGCTATGTTTTGAGATTCGAATTGTTCCCTAGGCCTGGTGGCCCAATCAGAAGGCTGGGACTTGCGCCTTTTGCATGCTCCGACTGGATTGGCAGCGGCACATCCACGGCAAGTTTTGCCAGGGCGAATTCGGGCTATGCGCTGGATGCATCAACTCCAAAGCTGTCATCAGGCCAAATCTATCTACCGATTGTTTGCCCATGTTTGCCCTATTTTGTGTTATTTTTGCACACTTTGTTGATTGAGTCGGCAGGCACGCCAAGAAAATTTGGTGCACCTGCGGCATCACCAACATCTAGAAGGAGGACAAGATGACCAAGACAGAGCTGTAGAATGCTCTAGAATGCTGTAGAATGCTGTAGAATGCTGTAGACACATTGCAGCTGTACTGTGGTTTGAAGGACTGAGTCAAAGAAGCCGTCCACCAGGATCGATCCTGAGCAGGCACGGAGTTCACGAAAAGAATTAGTTGATCATCTGATCTATATATGTAAATATGCTTGCGAATATAGGTATACCAGTCACTTCAATATATAATATACATCTAGAATCATCTAGAGAGATTTAGATGTACTATGATTTACTGCAATACATGCAACACATTCATACGGTGAGGGCTCGCTACTCGCGGTGAACAGTTCCATCTTGCGGGTGACGCCGGGTGAAGCCTGCGAAGAGGTCCCGAGACCTGTTGGACAGCCAGAGGCCATCAAGGAGGAGGGTGGCAAGGCCAGGCAAGGCGACATAGGTGGTGGATGAACAGGAGAAACATGCGAAGCATGATCTTGGGCAATTTTTTAAAGTTGCTCTTGCTTTCGAAGGTAAAAGCAATTGTCCAACTAGTGGTCCTCAATAGGAGGCATCCTTTATTTTAAGCATGATAAAACAAGTCTTATGTTTCATGCCACCTCTGCCGCAGGTCTATGAAACAAACAAGTACCACGTGCCGCCAGCAGCAACAGCGGCCTATGTCCCGGATTTTCAGATTTTTGTCCGAGATTTCGTTGGATCCAGATTTGTCATTGCCTTTGATTTGACCTCTGGATCTGAGGTGTGTACCATCATTGACAGAGGATCCGCATCTTGCGAATTTATTCGCTCAACTGTCAACCAGGCACCTTTGAACAATTTTGTGGGCATTCTATTCAATTCCATTGAATTGTGCTGATCCACACAAGCACTTGCAAGTGATCAGTGAATTGTGAAGGTGCCCGCCTTCCCGTCTACTGCAAACACAGCTCATGTCCCCATGGCAGTTGGATGCTCAGTGTGGCACTGTTTGAACTTGGTGGTACTGACTCCGCAGCCCCTTGTCATGGTGAGGTAATTTGCCAGCCTTTTGCCGAACTTACTTCCTATGAGGTCATCTTGCACTCGCTTTGATTTAGTACTGATTTTGTATGATTTTGACTAATGTAGCACATTTGCGCCGTGCTTGCTCAAACCTCCGCTTGTCAGGCAGACATTCCCTGCGTTGACCTTGGAGAGCCAGGCCCAAGGGCTTCGCTTCTCCAATTTGACAAGTGATGACAAGTGATTATGCTTGATTGTCAATTTGTCAATTTGATCATGTTTTCGCACGCTTGTGACGCTTGTGTTCTGTTTCGGTCTAGGAACCGTTTTCACATGGCATGGTGCCTTGTCACAGGTCCTTTCCGGTGCAATCGGTGCAAAGCATACGTGAACCCTTTTTTCACCTGGCACAACCATGGCAAAGAGGCAGGAGGGATATCGCCGCTTCTGGAACCTCGTGTTAAGTGACTTTGACTCTTGTGTCTATGTTCAGCAACAGCTGGCTCTCTCCTCTCTCTCCTCTCTCTCTCTCTCTTTCTCCCTCCCTCTCTTTGTGGCAACTGCTTTCAATTTGACACTGGAGGAGACCCTAATGCTTTGTGCCCAACTCTGTTGCTCCTCACTCGATTCACGATCCAATGCCTCGCAAGGCCACCTGTAATTTCTGCAACCAGCGTTTGGAGGCCAGGCTGGAAGGAACATAATTGCTAGACTAGACGTTGCATGATGTTGCTAGATTTTGACGAAGGACTTGTTGCTTCGTTTCAAGGTTCCTCAAGAATACATGGTCGGGCTTGATGACAAGGGCCAGAGGAGAGACAAGGCCTGTGGTTGCATGCTGAAGAGACTCTCACTGAATGTGCTTACTATGCCTACTACTGATATCATTATTCTCAGGACGAAAGGCCAGAGCTCAATCGCGGCACAGTTGACTACATTGCAACTTGGGTCGCACGCAGATCGTCATGTGCGACGCATTTGACGTGGGTCGGTGCCATGACGCCGTGCCATTCACAGCTGTGAGGCTCCCACGGACTACTCCGATGCTCTGCCTGTGGTTCCTGCGACAATTTTTGTGATCGAAGCGCTGGGACCTTAGGCAGCTAGGGCACGCTGCAAAAACATCGAGCAAAACATCCAGCAGACACACACACATCATATATCATCATATATCTACGTATATAAATTTATAACTATATTATTATATTATATATATGTATACATGTCAATGTATAACTTATGTTATATATTATGCATGTAATGTTATATACATATATATATATAACGGATCGCACTGAGGACGCAAAGATCTCTGCAGTGCGGGCTGCTGCCGCAGGCCAACATCTGAAGCGTATAGATGTAATCTGGCTCCGATGCGACTTCTTTTCTGCTAAAGGTTATGTGGACGCTGCGGTCCTTGCTGGGCTTCATGGAGCAGCCATCTTCCAAGCGGGTGTCTCAAAACCACAAAAACAACACAGTCGTTTCCGATGTTTTCATGTTAGCACCCACAGCAATCTTTGTATAAGACTATAAAGAGACTACAGAGATTATTGTTGAATAACGATTCAGACAATATGATTTCCTGGAAATGCCTCTACTGGCTACTAGCAGTCCTACTGCCTTTTTTAGTGATTAAATGAGTTCTTACTGGAAGTGCGAAACAAGTCCATTGAGGATTGGTATTCTCCTGTTTGACCATGCCTTGCACTTTTTTGCATTTTACCCTGGATTGGTCCAGCCCTCAGTGAAAGCCTGGGCAGCTTGCGACACGGCTATCTTTTAAAGGCCTGTCTTGTTCAAAAGATGTCATGAAGGGATTGTCGGTACGTGTCGAAAGAGAGGGGGTCTTCATAACTTGCACATACTTGCACTATCTTGCACTGGACGAGTCCATCTCTGTCTTGCTTGGGGCAGATGTCGTGTGTGGCACAAGAGTATAATTTAGCAGACGCTACGCCAGATGGTCGATCTCGATGTCACGCTCCTTGTGACACCACACTTGAACGTCTAGCAATGTCTAGCACACATCGTAAGCTTGCTTCTGGTGTTGATGGGCTCTCCTGGAACCAGTTGCACGTTGCAGGTTTCATAATTGCTGCTGCTTGTAGGGAGACTTTAAGTGCATCGTCTGTGGCAAGCACAGTACTCGCTTCAATATGGTCAGTCTCCTGTGTCTCTTGGTGAGGGTCGTGGTCTAAACAAATCCCCTCCAGCGGTCCTGGTGCAATGTATTGTAATTTGTGCAGGAGTTCTTGGTGTGAATTGCGAAAGGTCTGTCTGAATGGTAGCGCGTGAAATACGTAGTGAACGCATGTGCGATTCATGAGCGAATCACAGAAAAGTTGTCCACAACTGAATCAAGGCAAACAATTTACACACACACATGTGATGTCGCATCAAAGATGACCATATCCTGCAAAATTTGGATCCATTTGACAGAATGCAGGATCATGTAGGAGGTACTGATAGACAACTTATATATTATATATACTTGGATTATAATATCTAGTAAAACCTACTTTGCAGGAAATTTGAAAGGTCTCTCAAAGTGTTGTTTTGGGTGCCTTTTCTCCCAAGTTTGGCCGTCCCGTCTAAGGACTGCGCACGTCAGATTACCGTTTCTGACACAGAGGATGTTATTGCTTTTGGGCATGGGGCAGTGCATTATTGGTCCGTCTTTCGGCAAAGAGCTGACCTGAGAGGATCCCTTTGCTCCCTGCGGTGCAGACGCTTTGCTTGTAGATGCAGAGGCCAGAGACATTTGCCAAAGCTGTTGACGCTTGTGGAAGTTCTAAAAAATGTAATAATATTAAAGACGGTAAATAAATAGTTTAAATAAATATATTATATATATACCATATACATATTATAAAGGATATTGAATTATCCTTTTTGCATGAACAACGCTCTTGTTGTGAAGCCTCAACGAACTTTCCCGCGTAAGGATCCTGCGTATCGGAATCAGAAGCTCGTTGGCACTTGCAAAGTCTGCAGACAGCATGGTAAACCTTTGGCTGAATCGCTGAAAGATTCAGACATCCAAGGATTGATACTCTTCTCGATGAGTTGCCTGGTTTGCTTTGTGCAGAGGGCCTGGATACTAGGCTGCAACAAGCTACACTGCACGGTTGAGCTCAGTGGTAGAAATGCAGTCGAGTGGTCTACGTGGTTCCCGTTGCTGTCTCCACGCAGCGCATCTTAGGCAGAACAGGCTGCGGGGTGTGCTGCCCTAAAAGCTGCAACCGAATTAGTGGGAAGTCGTGGTGGGAATCTCAACACCACTCACTGAACTTGTCATGAACACATATGAACCCTAGTAATCAGGCAGCAGTTTTGAGTGCTTTCCAGCTAAGGTGGAGGACATGTTGTCATGTCGCAAGCTCAGCTCGGACTGCATATTTTAGGAGCTTTGAGTGTTGGAACTTCCTGAGCAATCTTGGCCTCTGAAGGTTCCATGCCAGTTTGCCGAACTCCGGCTTGACACCAAGGGAGCGAAAAACAGAACACCGCAGAACCCAGTCCTGAAATAGCCACAGAAGACCTTGCCTTGCAGACTGAAGGAATCGGAGCCTTGCGGCATAGAGACGATATCAAGCTGCTTGGACGGAATGCAACTTGAGTAAATGGTCGATTTCTGGAAGAATTTTGGTCTTGACTTTTGACTCTTCAAGAAGATTTGTTTGCAACACTTCATTTTTCGCCCAGGCTAGCCGCCGAGCCAGAAGGCCAGCGAATTTCACTCGCCATTTTTTTTGGGCGGTTTGGCTTCCTTTCAGAGTGGACAGGCGGCGGTCTTTTCAATGTGCGCGGCCTATGAAGTCCTTTCTTTGCCCGTGGAACTTGATGTTGCTTTTGGACTGAAGAACGACCTGCCTTTGACATGAGGTGCAGCAACCGACCTTCATTGAGGAAATTGGCAATGATTGTCTAGCTCGTGGGGTGTGGGTGCACAGTACGGAAGAGACAAAACATCGTGAAGCAAAGGCAGACTAAAGGCCAAGACAGAAGAGGCTCTTCCATTTTGTTTGCAAGGTTGCGGTGAGTGTGTTTTGTGCTCCGGCGACGGGAATCTACATTGCCAGCTTGCCATGTTTTCTTGCATCTTAGAATAGACTTGTTGCTGAGCGGGACACACAATGCGTCAAAATCCTGCCAGGATATGGCCACTCTGAGTAGAATTCCAAGGAGTCTTTTGCTTTTCTGATTTCTTCCCTTTCTTTCTTCGCAGCCATGACAGTACAGGAGAACAGGTGGCGAAATATGTTTCTACCCTGGATTTGTGCCGAGCTCAGCAACTTGGGGCTTTGAGGATTTGACGTCAACCTTTCAGCAGCAACTGGGTAGCTGTGGTTGCTGCTGCCATTCCAGGATCCAAGCCGAGATGGCGAAAGACTTCATTACGATTTGTCCAGGCGTCAGCATCATGTGCTTTGCTTACCACGAGATTTCAGGTGATTCAGGTAGATAGTCTTGTCTTGTCGCAAACCCTAACTTGTTCTCCCCAGAATTCATTGAAGGATGGCAGGAAACGATTCCACAAAGATCCACGGAGTATTGACACTTGTGTCCAGTGCTCGGCAGGACCGTAGTGCAGTCGTCTGTGCACGGGCCTAAGATGGCCTAAGTATGTTCCTCCAAGCGAGCTCAGCGAAGTCACCATAGATTCACCAAGGTACAGCGTCATGTTCAAATTGCGGGTGAGCAAGGGGCTCGCCGTCGACAGTATGCATGCCACCTGGGATCCAGAGGCACAGGGAATCTCCCAAAGATGTACAAACGCAGAGATGATGGCAACAAATTGCAACCTTGGAACAAATACACACATTAAATGACATTAAAATTTGATGACATTTGGAAATTGCGACACAAAGATGTAGAAGATCTGTTTCCAAGTAGTACTGCGCATAATTGTATGTGCTGGGCATAAACGCCAGGTAATTGATCCTAGCACCTTTGCTGTCTCCAGAATGCCAGTGGCCGAGTTTTTTCCGTTGCTTCTCATGATTTGCCGAGAGCTATGAGCAGGAGCTCCTTGGAACTCCTCATAACACCTCGAGTGTCTTCACCGTTGTCAGGTCAGTGGATGCGACGGTAGACTTCTCCTTGGTTCATGGGGAGAGGACTTTTTGTGGTGATGCATCGCAGTTGCTCCAAGTTGATCCAAGTTGCTTTTGAGCTGCGGATGATGTGGATGATGTGGATGATGTTGATGCGCAAGTGCGAATTCACCAACGCAGGATTGAGGGGCAGAAGAATGCATTCATGCAGGCTGGACAGGCTCAGAGGTCGATAAATGCCATGAATTGCCTACCTAACTCGTCTGGCACGCAGGTTGCTTGCCTCTATACCAGCAAAAAAGGCAAAAGACTGATCCGTTCGGAGCTCACTGACATATACAATTTTATATTAAACAATATAGATATGTATAGAAATATTCAACTTACTATATTCAAAGTTTGGAGAGAGTGATCTTGTGCAGTCCATAGCAACGTCGTTGCTCATACAAGGTGTGCACACGCTGCAGCTTCCTGTGACCTCATCGTTGAGCAATGTCTTCCGATACACAGAGATCGACTCTGTCACCAACCTGCTCCTGAAACAGGCGATGCAATGCCTCCCTTTTTCTTCCTGTTTTTCTTCCTGTTTCTTTGTCATTTTTGGGTTAACATATGTTAACATCTACTGCCATGAATAAAAGATCTCCTGGAGAGGCAGCAGATTCCGCTCTCAGCGGGAGACGCAGCTGCAATTTGGTTTCGATCAGCTTCGTATGGGTTGAGACATGTTGAGACTGTCGATTCTACTGCGCTGGGAGTGCTGAATTGAAGTGAGAGCTGAGGAATGGCAGTTTCAAAGACAAGCTTACAAAAGCATGTGTGGCTTTATCCTCAGTGACAGCTGTGAGCATTTTATCATATTTTATCTGTATGATAGTTCGCGACATGCGATTTCTTGATGAGGATATGCTGCACGCCTACCGGTCCAACTGTGCCTCAATGACATCGGTCCAACCCTCAAACTTCTTTTGACTGCCGCGAGCCGCTCGATAGCATTGATGCATTGATATCGAGATTCTTCATTTCTTCGAGGCCGGTCAGCTGATTCTACCAGAATCGCTTAAGCTATTGATCCACCCTTAGATTGAAATTCAAAGGTGAAGCAGTGTTCATTATTGTTCAACAAATGTTCAATACTTTTGTTTAGCTGAATTTTTGTCCTTTGAGGCCCCTGTACATCGGCTCCATTCGGAAGTTTCCTGCTTTCCGAGCAGGTGAGAAGCCGAAAGTCTTTAGAACGTTAGCTATCGGCAGACTTTGCCGTGTCAGCTGAACAAAGCATTCAGATGCACCCGGCCTGTGTTCGCACCCAACCTGTGTCACAGGTTTAGATATCAAAGTGGATGACAGGCATCCTCCCTAGAAACTCATGATTGCAGGTTGAAAGTATGGCCAGTGTGACTCCACCGTTGCTTTGGTGTCAGCTGTTTCAGCTGTTTCAACTGAGGATAGTCTCTCTCATCAGAGTGCCCAGCTCAGGGACTTGGGCCCTTCAGGAGGATCAGGTTGCGTCTTCCGAAGACCATTGCTGATTTGTACATGATTTGCAGGTGATTCTGTCTCTCAACAAAGTGCTTTCTGACCAGCTTTGATACTGAGTCTCTGGGCCTGCCGATCGGCCTGACATCACCATTGGTATATCCACGCGCACGAGCCTCATGAACCTGAGGTGTTTGACGTGTTTGGATGTAGGAT